AACCTAGAGTTCTGTGCACAGCACTTGAAACAAGTTCTCAAAAGAGGTGTCTTCCCCACCATCTGAGAGCCAAGGGAGAGGCCTAGAGAGGCTGTAGACTTTGTTCATTAGTATTCCACACCTGCTTCAGGCCACAGGGGTTCCCACAACTGCCTGAGACCTGGAGGGCAACTATTTTAAGGGACCAAAGGAGGTCTCACCATCAGCCGGGCGTGGTTGATGTTCCAGGTGAAGGTGGTCATGGTCTGGTTCTGTGGGTCCACAATAGAGTCCTCCAGGATGTACACCGAGTGAGCAACGTTGGCAGGAAAAAGTCGCTCCGCCCAACGTGGCATCCTATTGGTCTTGGTCAGGAGTCTCCGAGACAGAAGCTTCTGGTCAGGGGTCACCTCCCGGTGTACTATGTCTTCCGTTAAGACATGTTTGCTGCGGGGGTTAAAGTAAAGATTATTCTCAGAAGTCTGCTCCTGATAAACTGTCTACGGGTTCCCGCTTGGAGCCTCCAGGTCATGGCTTCCTGCAATCTTACTAAGTGATCTGTACCTGGGTTCAAAGTTAAGGGTATACAGAACTGATCCCCGGGCAAATTCCAATCCCCTCCTCCTTCCTGACCTGGTTTCAGACGTTTTTCCAATCTCCAAGATTTGTACCACTAGGGAGCGCCACGGGCAGGTGAGCAGGCCATCGCCAGGATTCCCAAACCCCAAGGTAACTCAACTCCTGTTTCCCCCGCCTCTTCCAGTCTCAACACCTTGAGACCACAAAATAAAAATCTAGAGCCTCATATAATCCATAGCGTAGACAGTCTTCTTCGAGGACCTTGCAGGCTTGGCCTGGTCCTAATCTTAACAAGGACTTTGTGCTCTAACTGTGGCCACAGTACGAGACACCACGTCAGATTCGCTGTCCTGTCTTTCCCGGCTCCAATACTCAAGGACAGCCTTCACTCCAACCTTCAGATGGAGAAAGGACGGCCATTCGCTCTACCCACCGCCACGTACCTATAGGGATTCGGGTACCGTTGCCAGAAGGCAGCGAACACTTGGTCCCAGGAACTTCGGAGCACGCTCTGGCCCAGGAAATACTTCACCATCGTCCCGACCCGGACGGGCTCAGCACCCGTGCAGCATCAGGGTGAAGAGCCCGGGGGTGGGAGGCACGTGGCTCGGCGCACGCCCGCCAGGCTCGCAGCTCAGTCACCGCCGCGCCGCGCCCAAGTCCCTACGACCGCCATGAGGGACTATAAGACTGTGCGACGCTTCCGGCGCCGGCTGCGTAGGTTCGGCCACTTCCGGCGCTCGCACACGTGATCGGATGTCCCGCCCCCTGGCGTCCAATTCCGAAGGTGCTGGCTGGAGTTAGCTTCGGGGACCCCGGTTTCAGTCTGTAAACCCGGCTCGGCGGAGCCTCAGTCGCAGTAGCGTTCGCGCGGGTGAGCGGTGCAGGGCTCGACGGCGCGGCGGAGGGCGCTATCCGCGTCCCCGCGCCGCGGCTCTGCTAGGGACGGAGCGCCCCGGCCGAAGCTCCGGGGGCCTGCGACGAGCGAGGCCCTTGGGGTTAGGGTCTGAGGCTTGGGCTCTGCCTGGGCCACGCGGACCCTGACGTGAGTGAGGCGGCCCTGGGAGCATGAGCGGGCAGCGCGTGGACGTCAAGGTGGTTATGCTGGGCAAGGAATACGTGGGCAAGACAAGCCTGGTGGAGCGATACGTGCACGACCGCTTCTTGGTGGGCCCGTATCAGAACGTAAGTGCACCCCACCGGGCCAGGCCCGGGAAGAAGGGGGCTGGCCTGCATTCGACTCTTATCTCTTACCTGGTTGCAGACCATTGGGGCTGCCTTCGTGGCCAAGGTGATGTGCGTTGGAGATCGGACGGTGACTCTGGGTATTTGGGTAAGTCCCTTGGGGATATAGTTTTGAGCAAAACCATTTCCTAGGTTTAATATCTTGCCTCTTAAGCTAGCCAAGTGGAGCCTTATAGAGGTCGTTTTTCCTTCCCCACACCCATTCAGTTATCTTAAAAAAAAAATGGGGGTTTGGAAGACGCAGGCCTTGTTCTTAAGACTTATGAAGGAGCTTACCTTCACCCCCCAGGACACAGCAGGATCAGAGCGCTACGAAGCCATGAGCAGAATCTATTATCGGGGCGCCAAAGCTGCCATTGTGTGTTATGGTAAGGGGCTGGATTCTGGCCTATTTTAAGGGTTGGGTTACAGGCCAACAACAGAGGGAAACCACTGATCCTTGATTGTGTCTCCTGTCTGACCCTTACACCAAGACCTCACTGACAGCAGCAGTTTTGAGAGAGCCAAATTCTGGGTGAAGGAGCTGCGCAGTTTAGAAGAGGTAGGTGACCAGATCCCACAGATCGGCGACAGGGACCATGTTGGTCTGTGGAGATAATCTCAGTCTTGTCTTCTGCTACAGGGCTGTCAAATTTACCTGTGTGGCACTAAGAGTGACCTGCTGGAGGAAGACAGGCGGCGCCGTCGTGTAGACTTCCACGATGTCCAAGATTATGCAGATAGTAAATGTTCTAAAACCTTTGAGGGTGGGGGTGGGGGCAGAGAGTGGGTGATACCTGCTTGAGTGGATTACAAGGACGGCAGACTGACACCCCTGGCTGCTTTCTGGCCTTCTTGAACCTATGCGATCCAGGACACTGAACTGTTAACTACATTTAGGTCCTGATTCCCAGGGATAAAGAGTCACTTCTCTTTGCAGATATCAAAGCCCAGCTCTTTGAAACATCCAGCAAGACAGGCCAGAGTGTGGGTGAGTGCTGTCTTGGGGCCTGCCAGCAGAAGGCAGGACACTGAAGGAAAAAAGGTTCAGAGGGCTGGGTCACTGGGAGTTCTCAGGGATGCTGGCACCAGGGCCTCACTGATCCTTTGCTTGCCAGACGAGCTCTTCCAGAAAGTGGCAGAGGATTACGTCAGTGTGGCGGCTTTCCAGGTGATGACAGGTGTGTACTCCCCACCTATTAAGATGTCCTCTAGGCTCGTGGACTCTAGTCCTGCTGGTGACCTACCTGATCACCACCACAATAGTGCTGAGCAGCCACCTCTCTCTTTGACAGAGGACAAAGGTGTGGACCTGAGCCAGAAGGCAAACCCTTACTTCTACAGCTGCTGTCATCACTGAGCCACCACTCATCTGGCCTGGGAGAATTAAATGAATTCCCCCAGAGGGCTTGGACCCAATTCTTGTCTGGGCTGGTGTGGTCAAGTGTCTGAGCTGCTCCAGGTCCCCTTGGCAGCAGAGGTGGCACCTGCCTGTGCTGGCCCATGGAACGGAGGCAGTATTGGGCAGATTGTGGGCATGAAGAAGGATAAGGGCTGATTTGACTTCCAGGCTTGTGTCCTGGACAGAACTTCTGTCCACAGATTATTTAACTAGCTTCTGAACTGTAAATAAAATTGATGCACTGTGACTCACAGCCCCTTCCCTGTTTTGTGCACTGGGTGTCAGAACACCTAGTTGTTCTTGGGGCCATCAGACTGGCCTCACTTCCTGTCAGCATTTGGAAACCAAATAGTGAGTCACCGAAATCATGGAGAAGCAATGGGCTCTTATGTCCCCACGCACAGTTCCGTGTGTGTGTGTGTGTGTGTGTGTGTGTGTGTGTGTGTGTGTATGTGCATGTAGAGCAAACCCTCAAGGCTTCTAACATACCAGTCAAGAACTTTATCACTGACTGATTAAGCAGTTTCTTTTCTCTCGTGGGGATGAAATAGGCTTAGGGACTGGGATGGAGGAATACAAACTCTTAGAGCAAGGAAAGCACGTAAGTTGTACCCACAGATGAAAGGCTCAAAGTTAGTTTGGCCAGCTCAACTTCTTGTGTCATGTCTAGAACTGTGGCTCAGGGCTGTGACTCAGTCCTAAGCTTCCCAGGATTGCCCTGTAATATATTTAACAAGAGGCAATCCATAGTTCTGCAAGTCAAAAAGACTTTATGGATGCAATTTAGCTTTTAATTTAAAAAGAGGACTTAAAACTGGGTGGTGGTGGTGCTCACCTTTAATCCCAGCGCTAGGGAGGCAGTCAGGTGGATCTGAGTTTGAGGCCAGCCTGGTCTATAAATTGAGTTCCAGGACAGCAATAACACAGAGAAACCCTGTTTTGAAAAATAAAACGAAAATACCCACATACATCATTAAAAAAAAAAAACTAAAAACAAAACACAAAAAACCAAAAGGATTTGAAGACAGTGATGGCTTGTCTTTAATCTCAGCACTCAGAAGGCAGAGGCAGATGTGCCTGAGTTCCAGGCCACCACAGCTACACAGTAAAATTCCCACCCCCATAAGAAAACAAAACAATAAAAGAACACACAAAACCCTAAGTAAATAAATAAAATGAGAAAAAGAAAATTGAGACAACTGCTAATTTTTTCAGGATCAGAAATACCCTGAAAACCTAGATGGTAATGTAAAAAGGGCTAACGCTTCCTGTTTAAACAAGGAAGTGTATTGCAGCCCTTTCTAGTTAAGTGTGAGGGTGTGATGCCAGTTCAGGGCCCCTTTGCCTTTGAAGATTTCAGAAATACCAACTGGTCCTATTCCTGCCCAGAAGGCATTTTGGGACCATTTTTCTGACATCTAAGCACTAACTGGGCAGCCAGGCAGGAGACAGACTAGTTTGAGGTGAGTCTGGACTGCACAGCATAGTGAGGATGTCTCTAAACAACCCAGTGCCCTGGTTTCGTTTCTCTTTACTTCCTCAAAATGCCCGTGAGAGTGGTGGTGGCTTTACTTCCAGCACTTGGAGGTATAGTTCAAGGCCAGCCTGGTCTGCAGATTGAGTTCCAGGACAGCCAAGGGTTACACAGAAATATTTTGCAACTCCCAATGGAAAGGAAGGAATCTGGGAGGTCAATTTTCTTGAAGTTCTTGAAGGCCTTAAGCTCAGGTTGGCTCTAGCTCTTACCCCAAACCAGTCAGTCCTTTGTCTTATGCTACATCTCCCCAGAGACAATAAAAACACAGGGCAAGGGCCATAAGAGTAAAGTTAAACTTTACTTTACAGTAATTTTTTCTATATACAAAGAATTACAGTACATGTTTATGGGGACTCCTAGCACAGGGTTCCCCTCTTTTTCACTAGGAGGTTCACTTCCAGCTGACAATCTGTTGGGGGGGGGTGAGAGAACACAGTGATGGACCTTGGCTGAACCCTTTTCCCCATTTAAAAAATAGAGCTTTCTAGTCAGCTTTCTTCGCCAAGACCTAAAAAGCTGCTTTTCCATGAGCTCCTAGGTGCTGTACTCACCCAACTTTCACACTCACCTACATACATAAGGCGGCACCACCATAGCCTGGAGACCACCTACTCTGTCCACCCTGGAATGAGAACACCAGGACTCTCCTTGGTTTCTACTCTGCTCCCTGTGTTTACCTGTCAATCTGTGCTAAGCTCCCAAGAGCTACCCTTGGAGCCCCTCATAGTCTTATGTTCTTAAGTCACAGGAAGGCTACTCTAGGGTAAAGACCACAAAAGAGTTTTTGTTTTGCTTATGTTGGTAAGAAAACATCTCTTGTGAGGTTGTAGTTGTCTAAATAAAACTCTCCCAACGTTCTTAAGAGACATTGCCCTTATTCATAAGCAATTGAGATGCTGCCACGAGAGGGGAAGAGGTAGAGAAGCAGAAGGTAGTGGATACCCCACACCCATAGTTCTCTTCTAAACTGTCCTAGACAGGATGGGACAAAGGTGACCCTAGCCCTGAGAAACTCAGTGGCCATCATCTGGATTTGGGATCATCTCTTCACCTCTGGATCGTACTAAAAACTCCAGGGTTGGGTTGGCAGGCATCAGTGACACTGCCTGCCGCCTATCTCTCATAGAGCTGAAAGGAACCTACATAAATTATCTTCCCAAACGGGAACTGGGGTTTCTCATGTCACCACTTCCTCAACCCTTGGCAGTGCTTATTTATACCATGAGATTAGCACCATCATTACATTGTTTTGTGTACAAAGCAATTATTTGTATTTCAATTTACACTATAGAACTGCACTGACCTAGGAAGCTCAGCTGAAAACAAACTGGTCATAGCCAATCAAAGCTCCTGCAGAAGCTACCTAGGTCTAAACGACTTGGGATACTTTTAACATTAATCACTCAACAACAGGAAATTCCTGTCCTCTGATCTAGGAAGTGAGGACACTGGGCCTCTTTTCATTCAATGACAACATCCCCAAGAAGATAACAATGTCCTGACAAGTTTTAGAAAACTTAATTTTTTTGGAGCCGGGGCAAGACCCATCTGATTGAATGCTCTCCTGATTGCCCTGCATGGACAACCTAGACATCCTTCCTGTCAGTTGTGGAACAACACTGGAATACAATCTCAAAGTTCAGCTTCAGGGAACTGACAGTGCAGAGCCACGAAGGCTCACTACTACTGCACTTCAAGCCCAGACTGTACGTGTGGGGTAGAGGATATGAATACCAAAGATGCAGAATTCGTTAAAAAAAATGACACAGTTATGCAAATAATTTCAAACTCAGTAATTTTAGGGAAGCAGACATCTAAAAATACTGGGGGGGGTGGTTGTAAATGGTGGCTACCTTCTATTAAAATGGGTTGGCTCCAACAGTTAGAAAAATGAAGTTTTAAATGCAAATTTCAACAATTCCACCCCTTTTTCCCTCTAACTAAACAAGAAGTATAGCCACTACCTAGGAGCATTTCTGCCTTTGGCTTGTCCCTGGAAAGAACTTCCTAGGTGCTGTCTCACAGGTAGATTCTCTGGCAATTCAAATTTCAAGCACTTAGCCAAATGCCAATGCCAAAATACAACCTGTCCAATGATCAGAAGTTTCTAGTAAGATTTTCTGTGTTGCCAATTCACACTCTCAAAGAAAGGGTTATTACAGGATTCAAACACAGCCCAGAACTGCAAGGTCACCCTCTTCCCACCATCACACTCAAGTCCCTGCTCCCTAAGCACTTGTTACTGAAGGACAGTAACCAATACCCTATTTTAACACAACTCATGCTGTTAGCTGTGGGTCTCCGCTCAAATGTCTAGTTCCAACTCAACAACCTGAGAGTCTTTCAGTGGCCCTGAACAAAACGTGCCTGTCATTAGAAGGGTTGTTTCTCACCCATGCCCCTCACTCCCTCCACCCCACAAGTACACAGTTCAGATGTTTTCCCAGCAGGTCTGGAAGGAAGGCTCCAAAGAATGGCGGTGAATGAAAATATCGCAACAAACACGGGTGGCCAATCGTGACCCCATCCCTCCCTCCTGTTCTGTGAGACACTTCTAGACAGCTGTCAAAGCCAATTAACTACTGAAACCTATTTTAGAGAAGTTAAGTCAAGACTAAACTTCACTTAAAAATTTTACATAGCCTGCACCCCCCACCCCCCAATTCACAGTTTATTTCATGAAACAGCTACGGTAATCAAACACACAACATAGTGAACGGAGACTCTGACAGTGCAGTGCAGACATCTGTTTCTGATCACAACTACAGATGACAGGAGAGCAAAGGGCACAGGACTGGCACCAAGCAAACCTACGCACACAACCTAAGAAATCAGGAAAGGGGTCTACTAGCTGCAGTTATATACTTATATCTTCACACATGATAAATATGCAATATAGTGAACTTTAATTTCCTGGGTGAATTTCTTTAAAAATATTTTCTTCATGGTTTAAAAATTTTTTTAAAAGAAAATAAGATGATTTATGTTTTCTCTTCCTTTTGAACACAGAGCTTTTCTTACTCTGATGATGTGGAAAGAAAGAAGGAAAGGGGAGAACTAGGCAGGCGTAATTCAGAGAGGTGCAGGGACTAGCCCCCAAGCTCGGGTCAGCCCTGTCCTAGCCTCATCCCTCTGCCTGAGTTCAGGGGTTTCTACCCCAGAGACAGACTTGGGGAAATAAAAGCAGACACTACTCTCAATTTTTATATAAAGTACAAATGCTTCAGTAACCACCACTGCTCTTTCCTTTTGAAAAGTGATGGAAGCTAACCTCAACAGGAACTTAGGAGGAACCTGGGGCAAACAGAATCCTGTTGAGGGTATAAAAGCTGTAACTGGGACAGAAAGGCCAGATGTTTTGGCCAGGAGATGCCATTTGTTAGCTAAAGATACTACGTTGGCAAAGCAGACAGGTAAACAAACACATGGTCTGAGGACAAGGGGCAGGGTGAGTGTGAGAGAACTAGCCAAACAGCATTTTCTGTTGGCAGTTTGTGAGCTGGGGAAATGGAAGGGCAGGGTAGCACCAACAGATTCCCAGCCCTTGGGCCCCAGCTCAGGGCAGCAGTAACAGATAATCAGCAGTTACGAGGAGTCGTCTTAGATTGGACACTGCTCCAAACACCACGTCTCTCCAGTCTTGGGGAAGGGTTCTGGCTTGCCATTGAGCTAAGTGACCAGGCATGTGCTCTCTGTAACAGAAAGCACAACAATTTACAAGGAGGTGGAAAGAGTTCCCTCCCTTCAGGTAGGAGGGCATGAGACCGGAAGAAAATTCCCATCAGAATCTGACACTCTTCTTGAAGGTGGTGTGTCTTGCTAGGAGTTTGCCAGAAATTCCCTATGTCCACTGCCCGAGACTGAAATCTGAAAGCACCTGAGTGTTTGAGGAAATGCGGATGGGGTAGGTTCTTAGAAAAGGATTATTGGTAGAAAAGAAAGGTAAGCTTGCCAATTTCCTTTGTCCACTTCTGGGACACTACATTCTCAGAAACCAGCTCCCTCTAACCTGATGCTCCTCCAAGAACAAATCTTCAGACTGCAATACACAGGTAAAAGTCCCAGTCAACAGCTTGCCTTGGCCTTGATGTAGCACCCTTCCATTTACAGAGAAGAGCTTTGCAGGCACACACATGCATGCACAGTCCAACTAGGAAACATGTTCAATACAGACACATTCTGGGCCACACACGCATACATACACACAAAAATATTTGAGAACAAACCTGGAAACCCATGGCCTAGCAGTACTTTCTGTTGTTTCCTGGTCAGAGGTCCTTGAATCTGCTTGGGGACCCAAGCAGGCAAGTCAGGCTCATTGGGATCAGGCCTTATGTAATTCTGTCTTACACAATGACTAGCCTCCTGACCTAGCATACAGCAATACTCAGATAACTGCCAGTGATTTGAATGAGCATCAGATCCTTCTAAAGGTTTATCAGGTGTTCTCAACGGGGCACTGCTGGGCCAGGGAAGTAGCTTTGTGAGCCTCTATACTTTCCAACTTGATCACTGGAATTGAATTCCATGCTTGATTGTAGAGTGGACTTTTTATTTTAAGTTGACCATATGTAAAAGTTAGGGCAAAGAGACTCAAGTCTGTCTGTCTCCTTGACTGGGGCCCGACGATTTCCATACATGGTTCACACAACCACAAGTCCCCATGGGCTAATGCCACAAGAGTTCTGAGTGTTGGGATATAAGAAAAGAATAACAGTGGAAGTGTTGGGAATATTTCTGTTTAAGAAGAGAAGGGAAAGAAGGATTATTCCCCCCCCCCCCAACCCCAACGGCACCCTGGGGACAGCTTGCCTGGTTATGTGATATTTACTGCATTATTTCTGTTCTGACTCTGCACATTTGCGACTAGAAGGAGCCTGGTTAAGAGCTTGAATTGTATTTTGCTCTGGTTTGGGGTCTTGCCCTCTTCCAAGGGACCAACAAGTTTGTGCCAATGTCTGTGTGCCCCCAGTAGACCAGCAAGCTTGGGCTAGTGTTTGTCCAGCCACTATGGGCCAAAGCCCTGCCCCTGGTGAGGCTTTTCCCAGGCCCCAGGGACTCTGTTCTGTGGTTGTCAACTTCTTCTCTTCATTGGGGAGAGAAGCTGGGATCTTCCCAAGAGACCTGAAGGACTGCCCACTCTTGGCAGTAAGTCCTCTAGATAGCTGCTTTCCCTGTTTAATGAGGCTGGGTGCTGTGCTGGGAAGTCCTGGGGTCTGCTCAGCTCCTACAGGAGCTCTTCCTGAGGCTTGAGTTGCTGATTCATATAAAAAAGCCTTGGCAGAAGATGGAGAAAGAAGTCTGGCCTGGGTGAGTGACTTAACAGCTTGCCAAGGATGTTCTGAAGGAGCTGCTGCTTTCCCAGCTGGCGGAAGGGACTCTGACACGCTGCTTTTCTCCACAGTTCGTGGCATGTGCCCCAGACCTTTACTAGATGGCCACGAGCTTGATTCCAGCACTGGCGTCTTTTCATCAGCCTGTGGTGTGACTTCATGTGGAGATCCAGCCCTCTCCTTTTGGCGAGGAGTTAGGTCTATGAGATCCATCACTAGCGCAGGTCTGTGCTTTGACTGAGTGTTCTGGTCCACAGGCCTCAGTGCTTTTTCTTTAGCTACCAGAGACTGGACCACAGCTGATAGTACTTTCTCAGGAGGAGGAAGTCTCTGGGTCAAAGAGGCATGGGATTTGTCTGGAGGCCTATCAGAAATCTGGGGTTTGGGACTGCTGGTAGTCAACAGTCTGTCTGGTGGTGAAAGTCTCAGGCCAGTGGGGGCTGGGGATTTCTCCACTGACTGGGACTTTGGGCTGGCAGCACCTATGGATTTATCCAGCCTTGGGTCAATCATTCCCAGAGGTCTTTCCAGTGGCAGGGACCTGACTGAGGGTGAGGAGCTTGGCTTGGTCATTGAAGAGGCTTTGTCAGATGGCTGAGGTCTTGGTCCTTCTTTAGCAGGTGGTCTGTCCTGTGGCCTCTGGTTGGATACCAAGGATTTGGTCCCTGACCCAGCAAGGTCTCTAACCCTATCTAAAAGGTGGGAGCTAGACTCAGTTCTCTCAGGTCTTTCAGGTAGCAGTGGCCTCTGACAAGTCCCTGTCAGGGCTTTTTTGGAGACTGGCAGCCTCTGGGTGGCATCAGTAGGTGGCTGATCAGGCATCTTGGGTCCCTGAGTAGCCATTCCTGATGACTGTTCTGTCAGTTGAGTGCTGGGGCTTGGAGGCAGTTGCACTGGGGGCGGCACATACTCACGGATCTCCCCTGGTTCCAGAGGGTTGGGCCCACAGGGATCATGTTCAGTACAAGACAGACGCCCATCGAGCTTGGAAATGAAAAGCATCCCTTCTCGATGCTGCTTGCAAAAGGAGCTGGGACACATCTCACAAAAGGAGGCTGCTTCCTTCCCACATACGTCACACTGGTGCCAAGGACATTCCCACTTCCCTGAAAACAAGAGTGAAGAGAAGCTTAGGGAAAATAGATGCATGTGAGATGAGCCGCGGCTCTGAGACTGGTCCACAGCAGTGGCTGCAAAGCCTCCTCAAACTGCCACATCTTCAGAGTTTGTGCCACTCACCTGCCATTACTCCTTCCCCAGAATTTCAGCTTCCTCTTCTGCACAAAACAATATATAAAATAACAGCAAAGAATCAAGGTTGAGTAACTAAGTATCAACTAAACACAAGCAAGAGACTATTTCTAGCATGAGCTGTACAGGGGGAAACCAAATAAACCCCAAAGTTCCTCTTAAAAGAAACAATCATTACTATTTCCACATTTTTTTTTCTCCAAATTCTGGTTGTTTTGTATTATTTGAGACAGGGTCTCACTATGTAAGCCCAGGATTGCCTTACAATTCAAGGTATATATATATCACAATGCCCAGATCTAGACAGCTTTTAAAAATCCAACTCAAAGAGGAACATTCCAGCTTTTTAACATTCTTGCTTATTTTGTTTTCACCAGAAATAGAGTAAATTTACACATTACATAAATAATAAGGGAAGCTGACTCACCTTTGCTGAATTCTAAGTCTTGAAACCAGCAAAAAACTTTATCTGGATTGTCCATGTAGAAACAAGGGAAAAGACCTAAAACTGACCTAAAACTAACCTTGTATCTACTTCCTCATAAGGCATGTAAGTGTTCCCCATCTCCAAATAAATTATGCTAGAACTCACTGATGGAACACAAGCAAAATCATGACCTGTGCCATGAAACAAGGTGATTCTGAAAAAGATTTACTTCTACTTCCTGGTACTAACATTTCAACACAAAGGCTCTAACTTTATTCTACTTGACTTTCTGTTCTATCATGACCCTGGACTACACAAAGGGAAGGAAAATCAATTTAGATTTTCACACACTTCTACCCTAGAGCTCTCCACTCCGCATATTGTGTTAACATCTCTTTAAACAGCTTCATTTGCATCTGTTGTTTGTATCTTACCATAGCCAGCCTGACCAATGGCTACAATCCTAAGACCCAGTCACTACCCAAAGGATATTAACTTTTCCTAACACAAATTCCTAATTACCTCATCTACCTTAGCAGCTGTCTCATGTGTAAATTAATACAACTACTTCACCTACACAGAAAAAGTCTACATTGTAAGGTAGGAGACTCCGGCAGAGTTGAGAGAAACTGGTTAAAAGCTGCTGACCCATCTCTCATTGATCCTAATATCTAAAAGTCTCTATATGCCTCACTCTCCCTTTGGAAAGGAAAGGTGATTTAGTGGCCTTGGGGTCAGAACACCTGTCTTTGAATTATCAGCAACAAGGAATCTCAATCTTGATTTGCATTTTCCCCATGCACATATGGATAGAAAACAATCTTTATGAGTTGCTGGAAAGATGAAATAATGTAAATAAAACACATTTCTGTTTTCTTTCCTATAATCTAGGACTCTAGGCCTTTGTTGTTTCTTTATCACCAAAGAACACGAACCAGATCCCACAGCGGGCTTGTGCTTAACAACAGTGTTCTCTGTCAGACTGAAACAAGTGGCATCAGATCCTGACAACTCTGACAGAGAACAAGGAGTGCTCCGAATGGACTTTGGCACCAACCTGCTGGTCGCTTGGTCAGATTGAGACAGTCAGCATGGTAAACTTTCGGGCAGCCTGGCTTCTTGCAGGAGACGAGCTGACCAGCATCTCCACAGCTGAAACACTCATCCTCTCTCTCCTTTGTGACTTCACCCTGGCTCCTGCGCTTCCCATGTTGCTTCTTCCTGAATTTCCTGGACTTTTCTTCAGTGACAATGGGTTGATTCTGGAGGTCAGATATTGATCAGTCAACACTGTGACAACAACTCAGGTATGTACTCTTCACTAGATTAACTATCCTTTCAACCCCAGCTTCTCCTCTGGAAAAGACAACACTCAGAGACTGCTGTAAAGCTAGTGAAGATACAGGAAGGCACGCCCAATTCATGTTAGCTTTGACTGCAATCTTAAAAACCAAACAGTACAGGGGCTGAAGAGGTGACTCCTCAGCAGTTAAGAGTCCTTTGCTCTTCCAAAGGACTCAGGTGTGATTTCAATCATCCACACTGTAGCTCACACCCAACTCTAACTCCTAAATCCAGGGGATCAGATACCCTCTGCTGGCCTCTATGGGCACCAGGCACGCAAGCCTTGCATAGGCACACATTCAAGTAAAACATCCATCACATAAATTAAATAAGATTTAAAATGTATATTATAATAACTTTCTTGTGTTTTAAAAATTATCAAGCTTTGACCGTTGGGAATGTTTCTCAATTGGCTCTATCCTTGTGATACAGGCCCATCTCTATGTATTTTAGCATTTCTTTGATTAAAAAAATTGTTTTTGTTTTTGAAACAGGGTATCTTTTATGTAGTCCTAGCTATCCTGATATTTGCTATGTTGATCAGGATGGCCCTGCTACCCATTATAATCTAACCATTTTGGTTACCAGGCCATTTCATCTACTCCCTGAGACTGCTGGTTGCTGCACCCTGTTTCCCTCTCTTCCCTCTCCCAGATGTTCCTGCTTCTGACTATGCTCTCCTTTTTATCTATAATAAACTTCCTTGTCCACCATATGTAGGAGCAGTCTTACAGCCTTTCTTATTCTTTTTCATTCACCACCCTGATAAGATGTTCAATCAGCCAAATTCCTACATAACCAAAAAAACCCCAAAAAAACAAAACAACAAAAAAACCAAAAACCAAACCAAAACAAAAAAACACACCAGAAAGAACGAACGAACGAGCGAACAAAAGAAAGAAAGGAAGGAAGGAAGGAAGGAAGGAAGCAAGCAAGCTAGCTAGCTCCAGCCTTACAATTTCTGGGCTATAAAATAAAACATTTCTCCTGTGTTTGGGGATATTCTCTCAAACCCTGTTTTAGGGAGATAGCGCTGACAGAAAATAAAGCTTCCTTAATATAAATAATCAGAGAGAGAGAGATTGAGAAACTGAGATCACCTGCGTCTGACTCAAAAGTGTAGGGATTAAAGGTACATATGAACATGCCCAGCATTTTGGTTTTTTATTGTTTGACATAAAAATTTTTATGTCAAAGCTGGGCAGTGGTTGTGTGCCTTTAATCTCAGCACTCAGGAGGCAGAGGCAGGTAGATCTGTGTGAGTTCAAGGCCACCCTGGGCTACACAGAGGGAGTTCCAGTACAGCCACCAAAGCTACACAGAGAAACCCTGTCTCAAAAAACCAAAAATCTTAACTCCATCCACTTAGTGTGTGTGTGTGTGTGTGTGTGTAGGTCAGAGGACAACCTGGAAGGACTCGGTTCCCAACTTCCACCTTTAGGTCTTTGGAGACTGAATTGAGATGATTAGGCTTGGCAGCCAGGCATGGTAGTGCATACCTTAATCTCACCATTTGGGAGGCAGAGGCTGGTGGATCTTTTTGAGTTTGAGGTTAGTCTAATCTACATAGTGAGTTCCAGGACAGCCAGACCCTACATAGTGAGATCATGTTGCAAAAAAACAAAACAAACAAAAAACCCTCCACTAAACGAAAAGGAAACCATCAGGGTCCTGAGAGATGGCTCCACAGGTAAAGGCAATGGTCTCCAAGCCTGCACACAAATGACTCCTGTAGGTTGTAGTCCTCTGTCCACCCTATAGCACTCATACACACACATTTTATGTACACACACAAGATCAATAAATCTAAGAGAAAAACAAATGAACAAACAAACAAGCAAACGACAACAACAAAAACTCTCTAACAGAAAACAGCAGCCAGGGATGGGGTTGCATACCTATAATCCCAGCATGTAAGTAGCAGACAAAGAGAAGACAGACTCAAGTTTAAGGCTATGCTGGAAAAGACAGTGAAAGTCTCTTCTAAAAAAGAAAGATGGGGCTGGAAAGGTGGCTCAGTGGTTAAGAGCACTGGCTGCTCTTCCAAAAGCCCTGAGTTCAATTCCCAGCACCCACATGGTGGTTACAACCATCTTTAATAGGATCTGATGCCCTCTCTGGCATACAGAGCACACATAAATAAATAAAAATTTTGCCGGGCGGTAGTGGCGCACACCTTTAATCCCAGCACTTGGGAGGCAGAGACAGGTGTATCTCTGTTGTTCGAGGCCAGCCTGGTATACAAGAGCTAGTTCCAAAGCTACAGAGAAACCCTGTCTCAAAAAAAACAGAAACAAACAAAAAAACAAAAAGAGAAAGAGGGCAGGCGGCACTGAAGATCAGCACTGGCAATTCTTACAGACAACTTGGGTTTGATTCCAAATGGCCACAAGGAGATTCACAACCATTTCTAGTTCTACTTTCTAGGGAGGGGCTCCAATGACCTTTGGTGGTCTGAGTATTAAATGCATGTGATATAAACATCTATACAGGGGCTGGAGAGATGGCTCAGTGGTTAAGAGCACTATCTGCTCTTCCAGAGGTCCTGAGTTCAATTCCTAGCAACCACATGGTGGCTCCAAACCATCTGTAAAGACATCTGGCGCCATCCTCTAGCGTGTGGGTATAAATGGAGGCAGAAAGTTGTATGCGTAATAAAGAAATCTTTAAAAAAATAAAACAAAAAAAAACAAAAAAACCCATCTATACAGGCAAAACGTCCATACACATAACATAAAAGACAAATCTCTTTAACAATTACAGCATTGTAACTCAGTTAAATGTACATAAATAAGCACAGGAAGATAAAATAATATTTATATTTTGTTAATCTCTATATTTTTTGGTGGTAAACCCATGGCTCAGCATGGGCCAGAAAGCATTCTACCACAGAGCTACATCATCAGTCTAGAATTCTATTTTTATGTATGGTATTATAGTGTAGTAAATTTTGCTAATACCTGTAGAAAGCAAAAAGAAGACAACTACATACTCAGGGAAATCTAAGTAGCTTCCTAGAAGGTATGGGAGGTATGGGGTGAGCAGAGACCAAAGTAACCTATTTCATTGTTTTAATTCAGTAGACTTTTTTTTTTTTTTGGTTGGGGGGAATTAGAAAAATACTTGTAAGTCAAAATACTACAGCAACATCAACTAGATCATGAGACTGCTCAGTAAACTGTTAGTGGCACTACTGATAATCAATCCCATTATTTCAAAGCAAAGCTTCTTGAAATGAAGACTCATCCCTAGCACTGCACCTAACAATGCTACAGGAGAGACACACCATTGTTGCTAATAGAAAAGTGTTGAAATTGGTACCTTTGGCCGCACACCCAGGAAGCCACTGCAGTTTGGGGCTCCACATTTGCAGACAGTTTTTCCATTCCCAAGACATTCTAGGTTGTAATTGAAGGTAAGTTCAGTGCCTGCATAAAGATCACAAAAATATTAACATATACAGTTTTATTATTTCTTAATTATAAGTGATAATAATGTCTAATAAAATAATTTTATTTTATTTTTATTTTTTGTTCAAAAAGGGTCTCTGTGTAGTCCAGGCTGTCATGAACTCAGAGATCTTCTTGCCTCTGCTAGGATTAAAGGCGTGCACTACCACACCAGGATGAGAGTAATTTTAAGAGAATAAAATTTTAAATCTGTGTTATTCATTAGCTAATGTGACAGAATTTATTTTATTTTGTTGGTTTTCTGAGACAGGGTTTCCCTGTTGTGTAACAGCACTGGCTATCTTAGAACTCATTCTAAACCAGCTGGCCTCGAACTTACTGAGATCTACCTACCACCTCTGCCTCCCAAATGCTGGGATTAAAGGCGTGCACCACTATAGACAGTATGTAACATCAATTAAAGCAGTTAAGTGATATTTAAAATAACTTTTATCTTTAAAGTATTACTTCCCTTATTTTTCCATCTGTTTTTCAACTATTTAGATTCAAAATACACTAAACTCACTAATAAAATTAACTTGAGAACTTGATGGTAGGATGCTGGCACATATTGTAATCCCAGCACTCAAAGGCAGAGGCAGGAAGATCACTGTATAGTGAGTACCAAACTAGCACTCACAGAGTGAGACTCCACCTTAACAAAACACAACAGCACTGGACCTGTAAGCATAAGAACTGAATTTGAGTTCTAAGAATCCACATGAAAGCCGAATATTTGGGTGGAGACGGGACAATATCCAGAAGCTCAAGGGTCATCAAGCTCATTATAAGCAACAGAGAGCCATCAAAGAAATCCTGTCTCAAAACAAGGTAAGGCAGAGACCAGCACCTGATAGTTTCTGATTTCTACATGCTTAGTATGTGTGTCCCCCCATCAAAAATAACACACACACACACACACACACACACACACACACACACTTTCATCAGTATACCTACATAAGGAATGCAAATTTGAAGAAGAAACCTTGTCAGGTATGTGTCCCTGAGAATAAACCTATCTGGCAGCATTCAGGGGAAGAAGCATTTCACTGCAAAAGTAATACTTCGAGGAAAGCAAGATTGCAAATGGGCGATCCACACTAGTTATGACATAACTGTTAGGGGATCTGAACTTAAGAGTAGCTTTACTCATTCATAGAGACCAGGCAAGACTCAAAAGTACAGCTGAGGCACTCCTAGTCTTCCTGTATTCACGTCTGGATGCTGAGATTATAAGCATGTGCTACCATAGCAGGCCAAATACCCTACGCTATAATGGAGAAATATCATACATCTATTCAAAGAATACACCACAATACCCACAGCAGTATATAAAGTTTAAAGACCAGTATACAGGACTAGGGGCATAGCTTGCTTGCCTAGTATGTGCAAAACCCTAGATTAATCCCTAGCAAACCGTTCCCTCAAGTAAAAAACTAACAAAAACAAAAAATAAAACAAAATTGTAGCAAATTAAGGCACAAAAATATACTCTTCCTGAGCTGGGTAAGGTAGCATATACCTATAATCCCAGAGGTTAAAAGGCTGAGTTAGCTCCTGTCTCAAACAATAACAAATCCCAATAAAATAATAAATGAGTCAGACTTGACTTCAGTGAATCAGACCGAAAGGTAATAAAACACAAACACTGGGCTGGAGAGATGGATCACTGGTTAAGAGCATTGCCTGCTCTTCCAAAGGTCCTGAGTTCAATTCCCAGCAACCACATGGTGGCTCACAACCATCTGTAATGAGGTCTGGTGCCCTCTTCTGGCCTGCAGGCACACACTCAGATAGAATACTATATACATAATAAACAAATAAATATTTAAAAAAACCACAAACACTTAAACTCAAAAGTAGGTTGGCCTAACAGATATGAGAATGTTTTATGAAGACAAATACACGTATTCTTAGTAATTTCACAGCTAACAACATCGATCACATTTTAGGAATATTAACAATTGCAGACTGATGGTCTATTTTTTTTTATTTTATGTATATTGGTGTTTTGCTTGCATGTATGTCTGTGTGAGGATGTCAGAACTTGAAAATACAGACAGTTGTGAGCTGCCATGTGGATGCTGTGAATTAAACCCGGGTCCTCCAGAAGAGCAGTCAGTGCTCTTAACCACTGAGACATCGCTCATCAGCCCCAATACTTTTTTTAATTAAAAAATTTCTAACATTTGTTTTGTCTGTACACATATGTACAAGTCTCTACGTGTATGTATGTATATAGGAGTGCATGTGTGGTGGTCAGCGGATAACTTGTGAATTGAATTGGTTTTCTCCATCCACACTACATGGTTCCAGGAATCCAACTCAGGTAATCAGGCTTGGTCAGCAAGCTTTTACCTACTTAACCATCTTATCTGCCCTGATATACATTCTAACAGTGAGACCAAGAAAGATTTTCATTAGATAGATGCTGGAAATCATTAATTCTTTCTTTAGCTGGACAGAATATAAAGCCAAGTGACTTATAGTTAATACACATGCTGCAGGATTAAGAATCATCTGTATTTACATCACTGAGAGGCTAGAAACAAAACAAAACAAACAACCCCACACAAACCAAAACCAACCAGGGTTAACAGCAAGGCCGTGGCTCCTACCTCACACTCCCTATAGAATTATTGGTCCAATAATAGTAAGTGATGCCACTTATCGTATTTTCATCTAGAGGGCAGTGGTGCAGCACAGTGCAGTAGAAAATGGCTAGCATAAATGAGCCACAATGCAGGGAGGCCCCAAGACAGCACTCACCCACACTCTGTGGCTTTGGAGCCTGTCCTGGAACTAGCTCTGTAGACCAGGCTGGTCTCGAACTCACAGAGATCTGCCTGCCTCTGCCTCCCGAGTGCTGGGATTAAAGGCGTGCGCCACCGTCGCCCGGCGACAAAGAAGATTTTTAGATGGCAAAGAAGATTTTTAGATGGTAAATAAAGAACTTGAAACTCAGGCCTTAGCTCCCGAGTCTTTATTGACCTTACCTGCTTTAATGTCACTCAAAGCAAAAAGACCAACACGCGTGTCCCCGTTCACAGACCACTTCTGTGTTTCGCAGTTAGGCTGGCAGCAGTGGTTCATGAACCGAGCATAGTTTCCTTTCGGTCCAGCATCAATAATTCGATCCTAGAATTTCAAGAAAAGCGACCTGTTAGATTTCCTGAGACTCTACTATGTAGAAAACTAACTATTCTCTCTAATAAGATGAAATGTGCTACTGGACAATGGTCTTGTATTATTTTAATAAAATACTGCTTGACCAGTACCCAGGTAGAATATAGACAGGGCAACCAGAACAGGAGAATTCTGGAAAGAGAAAAGGCTCAGTCTGTAGTTGTCACAGAAGAAGTCAGGTACAGGCAAAGCAAAATGAGAATGCCTTGCTGATAAAAGGTACCAAGCTACGTGGCTGATACAGACAAGAATTAGGGGTTAATATAGGATGTGATAGTTGATAAGAAGCCTGAGCTAACAGGCCAACCAGTTTAGGATTAATGTAGACCTCTGTGTGTTTCTTTAGAACTGAAAGGTGCCGGACCAGGTGGGACAGAAACCCGTCAACAGAAGTGAATGCTTTTAAAATCAAAGTTTCTCAGAGCAGGAGTTCTATGTAAGTCACATATGGACCAGTATCACCACCAACTCCACTTGGAAGGCTTTGCTTCAAATATACTAAAGAGGAAACTCTATGCAGGTTTAGCAATGTGTTGTTATGACAAGCCTGCCTATGGGATTCTGGTCTACACTGAAGTTTATGAACCACTGCCCCAGAGAAGCAGCAGCTTATTACATTTTCTAATCAGGAAGTTTACAGATGAGAGGCACATTAGAAATCATTTATTGAAATTTAACTACTTAATCCAATTCCTTACCCAAAGTAATCATAATCAGAATGTCTGTCAATAAAGACTCACAAACACACAAACACAACTGAAGAAGTATTTACAAAGGTAGATGCCAGGAAAAGAGCTGTCAGTCTAAGCATGAGGGTCAATGTAATCCCAAGTACTGAGAATGGTAGGGTAGGGGCTGGAGAGATGGCTCACTGGAGGCAGGACAGTGCAACTTCTAGGCTTGCCAAGGAAACTTAGTAAGATTCTGATTCAAATTCAACTGTAATAAGCTAATATAACTAACATGTAATAACAAAGCATAAATAAAAAACCAAAATGACACAACATAAATCAACCAAAGTAAAATAGGCTAAAGACATACTTCAGTTGTACAATCTTTGACTACTGTGCATAGGTTTCATGGTTCAATTCTCATATTAGCAAAGGGAGAACTCCAAAACCATAGTACAGGGAAAGAAATGTACTGGAATCTAATTTCCAAGCACAAAGAATTGCAGATAAAAGAAACAGACACGATGGGAAGTTTCTTCTGAAATATAATCCAATGACCCCCAAATAAAAAAAAAAAACTGAAATACTTGATATCTTGAGTTTTTTAATTTACATACACCTATGGGTCATGACCCCAAAAATATCACCAGAAAATACAGATATTTACATTACAATGCATAACAGTAGCAAAATTACTGGTGATTGGAGTCACCACAACATGAGGAACTGTATTAAAGCGTTGCAGCACTAGGAGTGTTGAGAACCACTGAGTTATATGATCGTAACAACACAACATGAACAAATTAGTCAAGTTTATACAATTAAGGGATAAAAGATTATTAACTCTTGTGATCTTTTTATATATTTTTACAGCGTTAAAAAAACCCCAACTTATATTGGATCATTAAAAAAAAATACTAAAAGTAGCTTTATTGTTTTTGGTTATGGGTAAAGAGCCAAAAATGAGCAATGTAGCCCTCTCTAGAATCAGGATCAAGAAATTGCTCATGTATATGGACAAAGTCTAGAACTTGGGTCTATCACAAATACACTTTCAAATACAAAACAATTTTATATTACTTACTTTATCTAGAGTGAGCATATAGAAATTAGTGATATCGTGTTCTTGTGCGTAACGGATCCGAGCTCTGCACTCTTCTTCATCTATCAGTTCACCCACATACTCATTCACAAACTCACCCTACAACACAAACAGCTCATAACTAAAGGGTAAAACAACACTGGTGCAATTTATATCTTAAAAATAATATAGATGATTCTCAAAAGTAGACTATGTGAATTTTATTATTTATGATGCCTTAATCACTTAATGAAGAAAAATCACTTCCTCATTCCCACTAGCAGAAAAGCTCACTGAAGAACCACCAGAATTGAAGACTGAGAAACAGTAAAGAAACAAGTCAATTTTGTTACCTGTCTGATGGCCTGAAATCCAGTTTCAACTACATTCTCTGTCTTGGAGCTTGCCCTGCTTTTACCATCCTTCTACATTTAACATCACTGTCCACCCTACTCTGCATAGTGTAATTAAACCATCTTTCACAAATAACATGGGAGACTTTAATCCTATCTCTACCTGGCAAACAAGATAAATATTTGGTAAATGGCTTCATTGTGTTTCCTAGAAACCTCAACAACAACAAAAAATTTTAAATGCTTAAATTTTTATTGATTGATTGATTGAATGCATTGGTGTTTTCCCTGAATGTATGCCTGTTTGAGAATTCTGGATTCCCTGGAACTGGAGTTACAGACCGCTGTTTGTTGCCATGTGGGTGCAGGGAATTGAACCAGGTTCTCTTCAAAGAACAGCCAGTGCTCTTAACCACTGAGCCCCCATCAAAATTCTTTAGAAATTATGAAAATAAGCTTTGTTACTAAATTGTCAAATAAGATTAATTTTTCTATCCAGAATGTATAATATTATCTGTTAAAACGTTGAAGAACAGCCAGGTGTGGTGGTGTGTTCTGGAGACACAGGCAGGTGGATCTCTGAGTTTGATGTCAGGACAGTCAGGGCAACAGAGTGAAACCCTGTGTCAAAATACCAAAAACTCAACCAAACAAGTGACAAATGTCTGGATTCCTTCCTATACACTTTTCTCAAAATTCTAGAGCTCTAAAAATTATATTAAAGAGACTAGAGAGATGGGCAGCTAAAAGCATTGGCTGTTCTTCCAGAGGACGGGGGTTCAATATCCAGCCACCACAGGGCAGTTCACAACTGCCTGTAATTCCAGTCCCATACATGCAAGCAAAAAACAAAACAAAACCTCTTAATGAAGGTTAATAAACCCATTACCGCCTTCAAGAAGGAGGTTAGCAGAGGCCCTCCACATTTCATGTTGAAGATTCCCTGCATTTTCACTGTGAAAAGCTCAACACAGCTCGTCACTCTTGATAACCCCAAACTATTTCTCCTGATTAAATACTTTATTCAAATACTATAACTGCTGGGCAGCAGTGGTGCACACCTTTAATCCCAGCACTTGGGAGGTAAAGACAGGTGGATCTTCCCGAGTTCAAAGGCCAGCCTGATACACCAAGTGAGTTCCAGGACAGGCTCCAAAGCTACAGAGAAACCTGTCTCAAAACAACAAAAACCAAACAAACAAAATACTGTAACCACCTCTTCTTCCATCTTTACTACTGGCTCTAAAACTGTCATAAAGTGTAAAGAATCTCATAACATTCTTATGAATTTCTCCCTATATTGTTATATATAGCGAATATGATCAATGTAAGGACTTTGATGACAAGATCATCCACTATCAAGCCTCTCTCTACACCTTGGAGTTTATAATAATTCCTAACTATGTGTCCTCTATGTAGTAATTCTCATATTCATCAAGAAGAACCAGTTATATCAAGCAGTAAAAACAAAATAAAAGCCTAACAAAACCTCTTAGTTTATCTTTACCTTTTTAATATCTGTTTTTGTCCGGAGACCCCAGCCCCTCTGTAATGTGCGGAAAATTTCAACGTCTGGATACTGGCGCTTGCTGAAGCACTGGTTTTGACAGCGCCCTCCAGCAGGACACACCGTGGGATGGCACTCATAGAGCAGCATCCGGTTGATACACTCTGAATCTATCCCACAGGGATTCTCATCAGTAGCTTTACAGTTGCAACGGGGAATTTCTGACAAGTCTGCAGTGAAGATCTGTACCCTACCAATAGGTCGGTTCACCTGGAAAAGCACATTGTGTCATATCAGATAAATTAACATAAAGCAATTCAGTAACATATCCTTCAAGTTATATGACACATTTACATGATTTGAAGAAATCAAGATGAGACTATTCATATTAATAATAAAGCCACAGCTGATACATTAAATGTAAATTTCAAACCAGCTATATTGGAATATGCCTTTTAATTCTGTTTTTTTCAGAGACTAAGACAGGAGATCACAAGTTAAAGGTGAGCCCAGACAAATGGAACACCATCACCAAATTAAAAAGGGGTGGGGATGGGAGACTGTAGTTTGGTGGTAGAGTACTTGCTTATAAACCTATAGCACTAGAGGGAAAAAAAAATCAATTTAAAAGTTGCTACACTCAAAGAATTTAAAACCAGGTCCTGGCATAAGATGATGTTATATAAGCTAATATATACAAATAATCACTTTAGGAAGAACACTGAAGAGGGACAGTGAGATGGTTCAATAGGTCCAGGAGCTTACTGATAAGTCTAACAAGTTGAGAACTGACGATCACAACTGTGTTAGAAATAAAAACAAAGTACTCTTTTTATACTCTTAACTTCCAATTTTTAAATTTTTACCATGAGCAAGAAAGGAAAAGGAGCCATACAGTGTTATTCTACTACACAGCCTCCCAAGATTTGTCCCAATCACCTTTATATGTTTATAAGGGGGTGGCTTCTTGTCATTCTTTCGATCTTCCTGTAGTTGTCTTAGCTCTTTTTGGGCCTTTAACTCTTCAAATCTCGCTGCAGCTTCCTGAAGAGCTGAGAAAATAAAACAAAATCACGTAAAAAAAAATTATATATCTCTGGGTATATTTATTTTACCCGATCTCCCCCTTTAAGCTGAAGAAAACCCATGTCCTGCTGGGCTGTGGTGGCGCATGCCTTTAACCCCAGCACTTAGGAGGCAGAGGCAGGTGGATCTCTGTGAGTTTGAGGCCAGCCATACCTACGCCCTGCCTTTTTTTGGACAGGGAGGGTGAAGCAGTGTCTTTCTACTCAGTAGCAGAGGCTGGCCTCAAATTTATGGTCCTCCAAGCCACTGAAATTACAGGTGTGTATCAGCATGGAACCTAAATTTGAAAACGGTTTTAAGTGTTGGAGAGCAATCCATGACTTTACAGATGCCAGGCAAGCCCTGTGCCTTTAAACTCCATCTATAATTCCAGCCAATTTTGTTTTGTTGAGATGGTCTTATAAGACCTAGGCCACTGAACTTGGGCTCCCAACCCAAGAACTGAAATTACAAGCATGTGGCTAAGACACTTTTGTTTTCTCTTTTTTTCTTTTTGAGACACAGCCTCACTGTGTAGCAAAAATCACCCTGGAACTCACTATGTAATCAGGGTAGTCTTGATCCTGGGGTTCGTTTGCCTTAGCCTCGAGTCTTACGATTATAAGCAGGCATCACAGTATTTCAGACACCCTGAACCATTACATGAACTTTAACATAGAGCAGATACTGAGCTATGGAAATTTCTGCTTGCCTGAAAAATCATAAGGGTAAAGTTACCTTTTCTATATGTTCCATCCACTCCTTTTCCCATTTTATCCTTGCTGCTCACATCTCCTTCCATATAAGGGAAAACTCGGGCCTGATGAGTCCATAGATAGTCATTAGACCCAAAGAAGAGAACAGGGAACTCTCCCACATCATGTCTCATTTTATCAATGTTAGAGGGTACAGCTCGAGGATGGCAGATCTCAGCTGGCCACCACCTGGGAAGGGTACAAATAAGAGAAGAAACCTCTACAAGGCTGCAAAAGCACTGGGAAAATAACATACTTAAGGTTTTGTTGTAGGTCTTTCTGCATGTGTGTATACATAGTATGTACATGTATACAGGCACAAACTGAAAAACAAATGTTTCCCTGGTTATTGTTCACTCTGTTTACTGAGGCAGGTTCTCGAGGTGAACCTGGAGTTCACTAGTGCTTTCTAGCCTAGCTAACCAGTTTACCCTGAGGAACCTTATCTTTGCTGCCCAAGCTCTAAGACTGCATACATGTATGAAGGTGCTAGGTTCAGAACACCAGCCTTCATACTTGGGTACCAAGCACTTTGTTCATTTAGCTGTATCCTCAAGTAGAATGTCACAGAAAGCTAAAATAAACATTCACAAATATAAATAATTTCTTAGAAACAGTTACGTTGCTTCAAGGAAATTATGATACATGAATATGTACAATGTCCACTGAATAATTTTCTTCAACAATGAAATGAAAATCTGACTGAAGAATTGGCATAGTGACTAAGAGCCCATGCTGCCACTGTACAGAACTTTGTTCCATTCTCAGCACCCTTGTCAGATGGCTCAAAGACATCTGTATTATTTAGTTCCATAGAATCCCATGCTTCTGGTCTCAGATTACTTGTGCTCACACGCACATATCCACATTAAGACACATACACAATTATTAAGTTTATTAAAAGTAATTAGAACAAGAGAAATGAAGACGTGACAATGACAGGGAAAACAATATTCATCATTAAGGGTTTCAACAGTAGTATACCAGACAATTTGGATTTTAAAAAAACTTACAGCTAGGCTAGAGGTCACGTATTTCTAATTCCAAGAGTGATTTAAACTCAGGAAGCAGAGGCAGTTTCAGGCCAGTCTGGTCTATATACCAAGCTGGATATCAAGTTTGAGGTCAGCCAGGATACACAGTTAAGACCTTAACTCAAAAGCAAAAACTAAAAAAGAAACTCCCTGTAATTATCTAACCAAGATAATCAATATTTTCATCTTCTTTTTAAAAAAAATATTTATTTATTTATTTATTATGTATACAATATTCTGTCTGTGTATGCTTGCAGGCCAGAAGAGGGCACCAGACCCCATTAAAGATGGTTGTGAGCCATCATGTGGTTGCTGGGAATTGAACTCAGGACCTTTGGAAGAGCAGGCAATGCTCTGAACCTCCGAGCCATCTCTCCAGTATTTCCATCATCTATCATCTCTTGGTGTTGACAACTTTCAAACTTTTCTTTAGTAGATGTAGGATCTTGCTATATAGCAAGAACTGGTCATGAACTTATGATCATCCTGCCTCAGGCTCCCAAGTACTGGGAATACAGGGTACACCACCACACATAGCTAGTAATTCATAAAATATATAATCATAGTGTGTCATTCTATGTTGAAATCATTCATGTTAGCTGGGTAAGTAGGAACCAGAGGCAGGGAGGATTCTGAGTCTGAGGCCAGCCAGGGCTATATAATGAAGCCTTGTTTAAAAATCTAACAAACTACATTTATGTTGTATACTTTTATGCATTCCCAGTTCAATTACAACTTCAAAAGCAAAACCAAAATGAACAATTGTGGGGAAACTACGGACAACTATCAGGTGGAGAAGAATATTACTGTGCATGTTTGTGAGTAAATACTTTGAAATTATAATGAATTTTCCTTGTTTATGAGATTATGTGCTTATTCAGTAAATAATTTGCTACAGTACACATACTATATACCTAGAACTGAAAAATAAATATTTAACTTTTTTAATAGAGTTTAGAGTACTATGCCTAATCATGAAGAACATTTTAAGAAGTTAATTACCAGCCTGGTGGTGGTAATGCACGGTTTTAACCCCTGGACTTGGGAAACAAAGGCAGATGGATCTCTGTAGTGTGAAGCCAGCCTGGTGTACAGAGTGAGTTCCAGGACAACCAGGGCTACACAGAGAAACTGTGTTTGGAAAAACAAAACCAAAAAGTTATCTTCCAGAACCCAAGAAACAGAGGATGATAGGAGAAATGAGTGCCATTCTTTGTCATGTTACTCACCTGTATCGACCAACCTTCACCCAGACAATCTCCCTATAGTGTGGTTTTTTGCCAGCCTTACAGTCATTGCAATACCAATTTCCTTCAGGAATATCAATGTTTAGGCACTCACGATGGAAAGCAGCAGGACAGGAGTCACAGCACAGAAGACTGCCTCCTAGAGGAATAGGGAAACCTCGCATTAGACCACAAGAGTCCATAAAAAGTCCCAGCAGAAATGGCTTTTGCTCAGCTCCTAATCAATTATTTTTTTAAAAGATTTTTATTTATTAATTATGTATACAGCATTTTCCCTACATATATGCTGCAGACCAGAAGAGGGCACCAGATCTCATTACAGATGGTTGTGAGCCACCATGCGGTTGCTGGGAATAGAAATCAGGACCTCTGGAAGAGCAGTCAGTGCTCTTAACCTCTGAGCTATCTCTCCAGCCCCTAATCAATTATTTCTAACTCTAGCCAAGGGCTTAGTAGAACACACACAGAAAGACTACTCTATAACAATATGCCTTTTCTAATATTCCTGAGCTCCAAACTCACATCAAAAATTTTCATATTAGGATAATAAATAGTATATTTTCTACCAAAATTAGTTATGATAACAAGATGGTATTTATGTGCATAAATATCAATATAAACATTTTCATTATCCCAGCACTTGAAAGGCAGAGGCAGGCAGATTTCAGTTAGTTAGAGGCAAGGCTGATAAACAGAATGAGTTCCAGGATACCCAGGAACGTTCCAGAGATACCCTGTCTCGAAAAACAAAAAACAAAAAAAAAGAAAAAAAAAAAAAGGTGAGCGAGGCAATAGTGGCTCGCCTTTAATCACAGCACTCAGGAGGCAGAAACAGGTGGATCTCTGAGTTCAAGGCTATAGAGTGAGTTCCAGGACAGCCAGGGCTGTTACACAGAGAAACCCTATTTCAAAAAAATTAACAAAACAAAACAACAAAAACAGAACCAACCAACCAACAACAACAAAACAAACAAACCCTTTCCTTCTAAGACTATTTATAGCAAATAGAGGCCACAGTATAACAAACACACAATTAGGGGCTGGAGAAATGACTCAGAGGTTAAGCGTATTAACTGCTCTTCCAGAGGGTCTGAGTTCTGTTCCCAGCAACCAGATGGAGGCTGACAATCATCTATAATGACATAGGATACCCTCTTCTGGCAAGCATGGAAACATACAGATAGAACACTGCATACATAATAAATATACATCTTTTTTTTAAAAAAAAGGCGTAATTAAGTTTTGTGTATGTAGCTTGTGTGTTTGCATGCACATGGAGGTCAGAGGTTGGTGTTGGATGGATTCTTCATCACTTTCTACCTTATTTTTTATGACAAGGTCTACTGAACCTAGAGCTCACCCATTCTGCTAAGATGGTTGGTTAGCAAAAGAACTCATGCCTGTCTCTGACCTAACAATACCATGTTATGAGAATGTACCTTGTTTCTACATGAGTCTGGACTCAGTCTGTCATGGCTGGGATTTTACGAACCAAACCATCCCTAAAACCTGAAAATTCGATTCAGCTGGTGACAGGAAGGTCTTGAAGTCCTAAGACCTTATCACTTCAGGAATTCACTTTCCTTATTGAGATCTCAATTTCCCAGTAGAAACATTTTATAATGAGCAACAGTTGCTCTTGAGACCTCAGCTAACAAAACACATAACCCAGCAGTACCTCCATACGCGTAGCTGTTTCACTCTTTTCAGAACACGGCAGTTTCAGACACAGAGTTATCAAGTGCTTGTAAGCAGGGTGTTTGGCATCCCTATTGAACCTGAGTTTCTTGGTTTATAACTTATAGTCTCCATTTGCTATCACACTTATTAAAATTGTTTAAATAAAGTTGGTTATAGACTTAACACAGTGAGAAAATTTTAGGTGATCTCTGGACTTGTTTTTAACTTTTATGACTGAACTTCCTTCATAGGCTGTGCTATTTCATTTTTCCTTTGTATTGTTCTAGAATTTTTTTTCAACTTGGGCATGGTGGTGAATGCCTTTAATAGAGGCACACTGGAGGCAGAAGCATGTGGACCTCTGGGAGTTTATGATTAGTTTGGCATACAAAGCAAGTACATAAGCCCTGTTGTAAAAAGAAATATACATATATAAAAATAAAAACTTTCTTCAGAAGTTGGAAAGATGGCTTAGTGGGATCCAAAGCATGGGCTACTACTCTGGCAGAGGACCAGGGTTTGATTCCCCAGCAAACACATAGTTACTAACAACCTTCTATAACTCTAGTTCCAGGGGAAATGACTCCCTCTTCTGGCCTACTCTGGCACTGAATTCATGTGATGTACACTAAAGATTATAGGTATGCCCCATCACATCAATTTATATAAAGTCCAATGCTTTGGGCATGATAGGCTAAGCAAGCACTATTCCCAGCCTCAAGTATTATAAACTAAAAAGGATACATGAGAGACTGGAGAAATTTATCAGTGGGTCGGTCATAATGGGCTTGCTACAAAGTATGAAGCCCCAAAGTTAGGATTCCCAGAACCCAGAGAAGCTAGCCTGTAACCCCAGCACTGAGTACTTGAGACAAGCAGATCCTAGGGACTCAACAGCACACCAGCCTAGCCAAAACAGATTGACTGAGAGATCTTATTTCAGGGTCAGAGAGATGAGCCAAGTCTGAAGACCTAAGCTTGATATCTAGGACCCATATGGCAAGAGAAAGAGAAGTAACTCCTGTAAGTTGTCCATATATTCACTGCAATACACATTAAAATATAAAACACTTGATAATCCCTTTGAAACCAGTCAAAGTTAGAAGTCACATCTTACCTTCTGAGCACACAAAACACCAGCTGACATTAACATGCTCATGATTTCGGCAGCCCCGCCTAGGGGTGAAGTGATTAGGGCAGATGATACTATTAGATGCAAGGATTTTTGACCCAGCGGCAAGACAAAAGTCATTAGCATGGTAGGCCACAGGACATCGGACACAACGCATCAGACGACCTACATTTATGGGAAGAAGAAAAATGGGAGAGAAGCAAGAGAAAAAGATTACATATGGAAACAAAGTGCATTATGAAAGTCTATTTGCCAGCGGGGAGAAACATGGCTCTTAAACATGTAATTCACTATTAAGATGAAGAGAGGAGCTCTGTGCTAGTCCCCAGTGGGAATAGGACTGCACAACTGTAAATACACCTGCATCTGCAAGGAGACCATGATCTACGATCCAGATGACTGCCTCAAATCCTGTAACATCTGAAATAAGTAAATTAAAACGAATGGACTTGGGAGGCAGAGGCTGGTGGATCTCTGTTGAGTTTGAGGCCAGTCTGGTCTACAGAGTATTCCAGGACAGCCAGGGCTACACAGGGAAACCGTCTTAAAAACAAAACAAAACAAAACAAAAACAGAAGACAAAAGCAACTGAACAGTAGAATTAGTCTTTGCTTATTACTTTATGAAGCTTATTTCCCAGATGGATCTCTAATATACATCAGCAACTAAAAACCAGGATCCAACTACTTAAATCTATATGGTAGAAGAACTAAAAGGGATATAAAGTGTATTGAATAGGAGATGTTTTCAAACAAAATCTCTAATGATATCTAAATATTTTAAGCCATCAGCTGGAAATTCCACAGAACACAGCATGGTATCCATGGGAATTCATTACTCTACTTGGCCACAAATGTTGCTACTTTAGCAAACTGACAAGCAGGATGCTTCAGACTGCACTTGAAAATAAGTAGTAGTGCCCAAGAAACCAAAGTCTTACAATTAGATTGATTTACATCAAAAAAAAAAAAATCCACACCTTTAGAAGCAGATACATTGGCTGGATTAGCAGCATGGCAAGTTATACAGATGTGCAGGGGGCACCGGAAGCCCTTGTTCTGCATGACAGTTGGTGGGTACTTCTGGACACATTGTTCATGGTAAAACTTTCCACATAAGGGCAGAAGGCACCTTTTCACATCTTCCCCACTCTGTTTACATACAAAACAGGTATGGATTCCTGGAAAAGGAAAGAGGCAACAGATTAATAATACAAGAATATATTCCAATCAAAGTCGTTAGGAATAAGTTAGTGAAGAACTTTATAAAATTTACCAAACTGACAGAATCTGACTATGCACAACTTTAGTACCTTTATAAGTGGGCAATCTGGGCAGGCAGTGGCAGCTCACGCCTTTAATCCCAGCACTTGGGAGGCAGAAGTAGGTGAATCTGAGTTTCGGACCAGCATGGTGTACTGAGAAAGTTCCAGGATAGACTTCAAAGCTACACAGAGAAACCCTGCCTCAAAAACAAAACAAAACAAAAACAAACAAAAAAACTAAAAAAAAAGTGGACAATTTGATCTGATATGTGTTTATTGGTATGATATAACAAAGTGTCATATTATACTGAGTACAACACATTTCTCTCAAAGAAAATCCAGCCTCTAGATCCAACTACATTGTAGGTGATAAAGAAAACACAGGAACAAGGTGGACATTAAATGCTTCCTCTCAAGCCTTATTCCTGGCTTGTATGACAAAAATCCATGACAACGCGCACTGGTGGTGCACGTCTTTAATTGGAGCACTCAGGAGGACACAGAGGCAGGCGGATCTCTGTGAGTTTGAGGCCAGCCTGGCCTACAAGAGCTAGCCCCATAACAGACTCTAAAACTACCGTCTCAAAAAAAAAAAAAAAACACCACAAACCAAAAAACAACCCCCCCCCAAAAAAAGAGCCATGACAAAGCAAGCTATAAAATAAAGGGTCTATTTTAGCTTACAATTTCAGATTATGGTCTATCACGCCAGCAAGGTGGCAGCAGCTTGACGCAGTCAATGTCTTCCAGTCAGGAGCAGACAGCAGGAATACATGTGATGCACTTTTAGACTGAATTTTGCCACATCAATGAACTTAGGGCAATTTCCTATAGATATGCCCACAGGTCAAGGAGATTTAGACAATTTTCTGTGAAGCTTTCTGGGGAATTCTGAGATCTGAACTTAAGAAATCCACTTGCTTCTCTCTCTCTCTCAAGTGCTAGAATTAACGGCTTGTACCACTGTGTTCAGGACAATTCTTATCTCTTCTCAGATGTTTCAAGTTGACAAAACTATCACAGCCAGTTTTTTTTTAAAGAGTTTTATTTATTTATTTAGATTTATTTGTTTTGTATACAGTGTTCTACCTGCATGCATGTCAGGAGGGGGCAGATCTCACTGCGGATGGTTTACGAGTCACTATGTGGTCACTAAGAATTGAACTCAGGACCTGTAGAACAGCCAGTGCTCTTAACCTAAGTCATCTCTCCAGCCATCTTTTAAAAAATACCTTTGAGACATATGGAAAAATCTGAAAATAAAACCAGGAATACTACAACTCTTGAAAATAAATTGGATTTTCTTTTCAAAGTCCTGTTAGAAGACTTCAATAAACACTTATAGATTCTTCGTGTATGTACATGTTTTAAGTGGAGGTTAAGGTTGACATGGGAGGTGTCCCTCAGTCATTCTCTACCTTTTATTTTTATTTGTTTGTTTGTTTTTTGAGACTGGGTTTCTCTGTGTAACAGCTCTAGCTATCCTGAAACTCACTTTGTAGACCAGGCTGCCCTCAAACTCACAGAGATTCACTGGGAGTGCTAGGATTAAAGGCATGAGCCACTACTGCCCAGTGTCTACCTTTTATTTTTTATTTTTTTTAAAATTATTTATTTATTGAGTACAATATTCTGCCTGTGTATATGCCTGCAGGCCAGAAGAGGGCACCAGACCTCATTCCAGATGGTTGTGAGCCACCATGTGGTTGCTGGGAATTGAACTCGGGACCTTTGGAAGAGCAGTCAATGCTCTTAACCACTGAGCCATCTCTCCAGCCCTACCTTTTATTTTTTAAAAAGATTTATTTGTGAGTATGTGTATTTGTGAGGCCAGAAGAGGATGCTGGATCCCCTGGAACTTGAGTTTCAGACAGCTGTGTGCTTCCCAATGTGGTGCAGGGGAATGAAGGCAGGTTCTGTGAAAACGCACTAAGTCCCAGCCCCGCCCCCTCTTGTTTTCTGAGACACTGTGGCTTATTGATGCTCATATGGTGGCTAGATAGTGAGCTCCAGAAACCTACCTGTCTGTCTCCCAGTGTCTGGGATTACAGATACACATAGCCATGCCTGACCAGATGCTAGGAATCTAAAATCAGGTCCTTACACTTGTATGGCAATTATTTTATTGATTGAGCCACCTTCCTACCTGAACACATGCAAACTTTTTGTTCCACCATTATCCATGTACACAATGGAAAGTTAAGGAAAGAAAGAAGTGGGAGGGGAGGGAGAAACCCTGCTTTGGAGATATAGCGGAAGGGAACAGGCCAGCACTGAAAAGCAAACCTGAGATGATCCCCTATTACAGTAGAGCAGGAAGAGCCATGAAGTAAGAAAATGTCTTCATACTTTTTATCTGTCTGGAAGCAGGTAAAATATCTTAGGAGAAAAAAAAGACTTATTTATGAGTGCTCTATCTGCATGTACACCGTTATTCCAGAAGAAGGCACTAGATTCCACTGTAAAGGGTTGCTGGGAATGGACCTCAGGTCTGCAGGTCCTCTGGAAGAGCAGCCAGGGAAGTGCTTAAGCACTCAGTTATCTCGCCAGCCCCTCACCCCCAGAATACCTTATACAGTCTCAGGCTGAGGATACAGTGATACACTGATTGCTGAGCCTACATAAGACTCTGAATCTAACTTTCAGGCCTAGAAAAAATAAAAATGGAAATTGCTCTATACTTCAAATCACACATACAAGTTACTATGAAACAGATTATACACATAAATATGAAGACAGAAACTATAAAAATCACAGAAGATGTACTGGAAAAAAGTGACACCGAGTTAAGCTGTATTTCTTAAACATGACATAAAATAATACAAATGAAAGTTGATAAACCAGGGACCAAAGATGGCACAGTGGTTAAGAGCACATTGATTTCCCTTCCAGAAGGCCAAGGTTCAATTCCCAGCAGCTATAATACGGCATCTCAAAATCACCTCTAACTCCAACTCTGGGGAACCAATGTCCTCTCCTAGACATTGAGGACAACAGGCCTGCAGGCATACAACATATACATATGTATGTATGTAAGTATGTGACAACAGGCAGGCAAAATGCTAATACATATAAAATAAAAACCTTTCTAGAAGTTGACAAACCAGACTTCTATCAAAACTTAAAATGTCTGCTCCTTTGAAGACATTAGGAAAATGAATCTAAAGATAGGCATGTTAGTGCACACTTTAAATTCCGAGTTTTAAATCTTTTAGACCTTCTTTCTTTCTTTCCTTTTTTTTTTTTTTTTTTTAAGTTTTTAAAGACAGGGTTTCTCTGTAGCTTTCAAGCCTGTCCTGGAACTATCTCTTGTAGACCAGGCTGGCCTCGAACTCACAGAAATCCACCTGCCTCTGCCTCCCAAGTGCTGGGATTAAAGGCGTGCACCACCACCGCCAGGCAGACCTTGTTTCAAAAACAAAAAAAGACAATGAACCTACCAGAGAACTACAAATAAAAATCCTGAGCCATGAATAATGGTGTATGCTTGTAATACCAACAATAATGAGCTGTCCTGGAGAATTGAGAATTTTGTAGTCAGCCTGAGATCATGTCTCATAAGACAGATGGACACATCTCAGTGGTAGAGCTGGTCTACTACACACAAAAACCCAGATTCTGCTTCCCACGACCATAAAATAAACCAAAGTTCCAAAGACTGCTAAAAGACGGCAAAAACTAATATAATTGATGGAGCAACATGCAAAGGATGAGGAAGGCATGAGTTAAAGGTCAGCCTGGACACCACAGTAAACCACCAACTGAAAACAAAGAAAAAAAAAAACCAGAGGATTGAAACAAGTTTAAGGGCAAAGAGACCACATGGTCAGGGAAAGGACATTTTGGATGTGAGCCTAACAATAGAAGCAAACAAAACACAGGCAAATGTAGCACGAATTCTAATTGGTATTAATAATAAAAACAGAGTCAGATATTAGGGGGTGAAAGCTGAAGGATCAGAGAAGCTAGAGTTTTTTTTACCTCTTTACCAATGATCAGACCAAAGGGGCGATCCTGTCCACAGACTACACTGAACTTCTGTCTCTTCCCGCTTTATATTCCTCTTCCGGCCCAGCCATATCACTCCTGCCTCCACCTCCCTCGTGCTAGGACTAAAGGTGTGGGATCCTAAGTGCTGGGATCACTTTTGTGTGAGCTGTTTCTCTTTTAGACAGATTCAATCTTGTGTAGCTCAGGGTGACAGAGATCCCTCTGCCTCTGTCTCCTGAGTCCTAGAATCAAAGGTGTGCGCCACCACTGCCTAGCCTCTAGTGGCTTAGCTCTGTATTCTGATCGTCAGGCAAGCTTTGTTAAAATACAAATGAAATATCTTATCAATACAGGCAAATCAGATTTTAACACAGTAAAAAAGCTAGTCATGGTGGCCCACACCTATAATCTTAGCATTTGGGAGGCTGAGGCAGAAGGATTATATTTAGAAACATTTACCGAGTTTGAGAGCAGGTTGAACTGCAAAATGACTGTCTCAGAAAAAAAAACAAAAAAACCCAAAAAAGGTAAAAATAAAAAACTCCAAACGCCTAAAAAGAAACAGTGAACACAGGGAAAAAGAAATTGTAAACTGTACATTAACAAAGAAACAATATTTTATATATATAAGTGTCAGCACTGGAGCTATAATGTCTTCCCAGGGAAAGGCAAATTGAGAGGAGGAACTGTAAGGTAAGGGCAGGATGAAGAGGAAGAAGAGAGAGGGGAGACAGTTCCAGGGAGTGTAGAAAGAACTGTGCTTTAGGCAGCATGGTAGCAGTTATCCATCAGCTGCTTTTTTGTTACACTATCTCTGCCTCACCCCTAGCTACGGATGGTCAGATAGGACCTCCACTGGCCACAACAGCAGTGGGAGGAGTAGCACAAACACCAGAAAAAGGAGAACAGTGGAACATTCTGACAGTGGTAGATTGGCATGAAATACACAAAAATAAGACACAGTAGAAAAAGAAAAAAGAAAACAGTTTATTGCTACTAAGGAGTCAGCAAAAAGCATGTGATCAAGCTCAGAGGAGGTGATGAAGTACCCCAAAAATTTACAAATGCAGGAAAGTGACCAATTTCCAATGGCTTGATGGAATGATTATGGCCCAATGTAATTTCAAAATGCTTTTCATTAAAAATGATTGTTGTACTGTGTAATCTCTACGAATAAAATTTTGCATTCATTGTACAGCAATATCATCAGGAAAGGGCAGTGTAAGATTCAGGCCTAAATCTATTATTCTATTTTTTTCCCCTATCGTGGCTAGCATTCTCAGAAAGATCCCATCCGTGATACAGACAGAAAGCAAAGGTGCATCTAAACACGCCTTTTTCTTCATCCTGATCTCTATTAAGACCAACCAGTGTTTCTAGGTCCTGATAACACCCTATCTGAATAAATCTTTTCAACGCTACAGGAGCTTTCTACACATAATCTCCAGAATCCTCTCAACTTGGGAAAGATTCCTAATCTCATTCAGAATTCTTTTGCTTCTGTCCTGGGCCTAGAGCTGATGCTCTAGTGGAAGGGAAGAAAGCATCGAGTTGAGGGCCAGCTTTCAAAGACCCTCTGCTTACATTTCTGGCTGTAAGGCCTCCTGAATCAGAGGAATTTTGTCTATAGGACATCTGAAGAGATCTTGGGTCCAGGGTTAGGTTAAACATTTTTGCCCTCCAAATAAAACTGCTTAGACTTGGAAGAAATTAAAGAAGCAAAGGTGGGAGGAACTCATATTTACATATCTTGCAGGACAACCTGAAGATCATTATTTTCTTTTGATTGAACCTACACTGAATATTCAAAAATGGAAATATATAGTTAATAAAGTAACATTTGAATCCTTCAATGATTCAGCTGTGTATTATTGTACAAGTTATTCCTGCCTCATCTGTATCATGGACCTCAAGACAAACTGGACACTGACTATTAAGGTAATAAGATCATAGAGTCCTTGCCATTCATGTAATTCCTGTAGCTGAAGGTATGCATTCTCCAGCTATATTAAACATACTCCAATCATAAGACAAGATACAGCATTTTGTTTGGCAGCCACTGAGAGATGGGAGATAAGGAAGTCCTCCTTAACAATCACTGGAATCTGCTAATGCAGTAAAGGATGGCTAGCCATAGTTTTGTCTGCCTAAACTTAGTTAAAGTCTGAGCAGGTGTGAAACAGATGGGTCAAGTGGATTAACACTGTTAAGGAATCAGGAAGATCAAAGAGAGAATTTTTCACTGAGGATGGTTTTTTTTTTTTTTTTAAATAGATTCTTGGGGACTGAAACTCATTTTCTGAGAAAGGGTTTCTCTGTAGCTTTGGACCCTGTCATAGAACTCGCTCTGTAGACCAGGCTGGCCTTGAACTCATAGAATTCCACCTGTCTCTGTTCTGCATCCTGAGTGCTGGGATTAAAGGTGTGCACCACCACTGCCTGGGTCCTGCCCCCCCCCCCCCCCGCTCCCAAGATAGCATCTCAAGGGATTGCAGCAATGGCTCAGCAGTTAAGAGCACCAACTGCTCTTCCTGAGGATACAATTTTATTTCCCAGCATCCACAAGGTAGCTCACAATTATGCTTAAATTCCAATTCCAGTAGATATGTTTCTTCTTCTAGCCTATTCATATACCAGGCATAAGTGATTCATAGCCAGGCATGTATGCAAAACCCTCATAAACTGCAAAATTTAATAGTAACAAAAGAATACACACTGCCGGGCGGTGGTGGTGCACGCCTTTAATCCCAGCACTTGGGAGGCAGAGGCAGGAGGATCTCTGTGAGTTCGAGACCAGCCTGGTCTACAAGAGCTAGTTCCAGGACAGGCCCCAAAACCACAGAGAAACCCTGTCTCGAAAAACAAAAACAAAAACAAAAAAAAAAATACACACAGACATAAACACAGTATCACACACAATCAAACAAAAGGATCTTGCTGGGTGTTTTGACACATGCCTTTACTCTCAGAACTTAGAAGGTAGAGACAGGCACCTCTATTTGAGTTTGAGGCCAGCCTGGTCTCCTTCAGGGTTATGGAGAAACCCTGTCTCAAGGAAAAGAAAAGAAAAAGGGATCTAATATGGTAAGTCCATAGAGGTCTTAAACTCATAATCTGCCCGATTACATGTGCTAGCTCAGTGTATGCTATGTACACCTCAACACAGGTATTTTAAGAAAGAGTAAGCTAGACAGAAATGTTGGCTTACACCTACAATCCCAACACTCAGGAGATCAAAGCAGAAAGAATGAACTCAAAGCAAGCCTGGGCTATGGTGTGAGGAAGAGGGAGAGCAGAGTGGAGAAAGAAGGGTGGAAAGATGATCTACTGACATACCCTTTTTAACAGAGATGGGTCTCAAAGACATTACCACACTTGAGCCACACAGAAAGTACTACACACTGTTTGATTTATATGCAACTCTTAAAAACATAGCTTTACCTTGGGATCAGTTTATTCAGAGTTCATTTCAGAATGATAAAGGCAATTCTATTATTCTATAAGATTCCTCGAGGGTTAGGACCTCACAGTACCCACATCTGCATGTACAATAAGCTCCCTGTTGTCAGAAAGCGGCATCTTCAATATACCTTTGTCCTAAAAAGACTAAAATTCCGACGTCATCAACTTTACCTGTGCGACACTCATTGCAGATAAATTTTCCTCGCGGCATCTCAGTTAGGCCAAGGCACTCCAGGTGGAAAGCCCCACAGCATTGAGCTTCACATAGTAACAGCTCACCCAGTTTTTCACAGTTCTGTAAAGGAATAGAGATTTGTCTGTAGAAAGACTTTAGAAAACTCCCAAATGAAGAGTCCTCATAAGATCAACAGCAAAGAAAAAATCTGTGAAATTCCATCACTTCTTCAACTAATATTAATAATTACTTCCTATATGCCAAGCACAAGAAATTCTCTGGTTTTTAATGGGGACAGATGACACAAACAAATGAAAACAATAGTTGTCTTAGTTACTGTTCTTGTTGCTCTGATAAAACACCCTGACGAAAGCAATTTAAGGGAGAAAGGTTTGTTCTGGCTCATAGTTCAAGATATGGTCTACTCTGGTGGAGAGGTCAAGGTAGCAGGAGCTTGATGCAGCTGGTCAAACATCGTTCACATGAGAAATCAGAGAGCAATGAACTACTTTAGCCTAGCTCACAGTCTGGAACCTCAGCCAAGGGAATGGCACCATTCACAGTGGGCAAATTTCCCCACTTTAATTAATTAAGCTAATCAAGATAATTCCTTAGAGGCAAGACCACAGAATAAACAATCCCTCACAGGTGTACCTGGGAGGTGATTCCAAATCCTGCTAAGTTGGTAATTAACACTAATAATAACAACACAGGAAAGAGTTCAGAAAATGATCAATATCAATTAGTATTAGGCAGAGAATTCAAATAGCTAACTTGGCTTTGTTTATGAGGATGACATCTTAGGTCAGAGTCTGAAAGTTCACAGTAGGTTATGACAAAGGAAGGTAGCAAGTAAAAAGCCCACAGGGAGGAAAATGTAACTGAAAGACACTGTTAATTTACTGAAGTGAAGACAGGTCATAACTGGCAGTAAATGACATAAAAAAAGGGAGGAGGTCAATAATTTCAGATTTTAATCTAATTGCAAAGAGCTTTGCTAAGTGAGGGTTGAACTCAGGTGTTCATTTTTTAAAAGATTCCTATAGCTGGTTACTGGAAAACAAACTCAAGAACAAAGCTAAGAGGAGACAAACCAGACAGCTGCGCAGGAGGCAATAACAGCCAATTGGACTTGGATCCTAACAGTACCAAAATAAGAGCCCTTTGAGATATATATCAAATTACTTCATAAAAAAATATAACCCTTCTCACCCCTTATCTTTTTGTCCCTCTCACTGGGAACTAAACACAAAGCTTTGGGCCCACCAGGAAGAGGGACATAACATCACTGACATAGACAGTCTCATGAAGACATGATATCACTAAAAGGAAAAAGAGCCTTATGAAATGAGGCTATTATATCTAATTATGAAAACCTTGGAAATTCCCAATGTTTCTTTTTAATCCCATTGTATCTACAACTGATTCACAACAACAACAACAACAAAAAAAAAAGCAGAAAAAAATTAGCCTGATACCATCAACTAGGAAACCCCCATACCCAATCTGTGAATACCCATGTCCTTCATACAACGAAAACTGCATATTGTATACACAATCTTCTTGTATACTTTAAAACACTTATAAACTCTAATCTTTTATGGTATACATGCTGTGTAAATAGTTGTTCCTTAAAAACAGAGTAATGAGGCTGAGGAGATGGCTCAGTTAGGGAAGAGCTTGCTCTGCAAGCATGAGAAAACAAGCGCATTCCCCAAATCTATGTAAAAAGCTAGGCATGAGGCTGGAGAGATGGCTCAGCGGTTAAGAGCATTGCCTGGTCTTCCAAAGGTCCTGAGTTCAATTCCCAGCAACCACATGGTGGCTCACAACTATCTGTAATGAGGTCTGGTGCCCTCTTCTGGCCTGCAAGCATACACACAGAAAGAATATTGTATACATAATAAATAATAAGTAAATATATATATGAATAATACATAATAAATAATAAGTATATATATATATATATATATATATATATATATATATGAAAAAAAAAAAGCTAGGCATGGTGGTGCACACTGCAAATCCACGCTGGATTTCTTGATCCATCTGGCCAGGCTGCCTACCTAAACATCAAGTTCTGGATTCCAGTAACAGACCCTGCCTCAAAAATCAAAATGGACAGAACTGAGCATGGTGGTGCACAGACCGAATCCCAATACAGAGGCAGAGGGATCTCAGTGAGTTCCAGGACAGCTGGGTCTATACAGCGTTTCAGGTCAGCCAGGGTTACATAAAGAGACCTTGTCTCAAAGGGGGGAGAACACTCTACTTTCGACTTATGGCTTCCACCATGCATAGGCATGTATATACATGAACACAGTCATGAAATACAAACACCTGAACATAGACTCATATGTATACCCCTCCAAATCAATCTATATTCAGTACAGACCCAACTATTAACTATTACATAACAATATAAACAAGCTTTCCCAAAGTATTTTTTCATCTATACAATTGATTTAGTCCACAGAAACCAAAATCTACTATCCATTAAAAAAAAAAATCAAAAGAAACGCCGCTAATCCCAGTACAAGGGAGGCAGAGGCAGGTGGATCTCTAGTTCTAGGCCAGCCTGGTCTACAGGTGGGTGGGGGAATAAAAGAAACAAAAGGTCTTGGTCACCTAAATAAACAAGCAGGAAAATGTTAGGGAGACAGGCAGAGCTTATCTTTCTTACCTTGACTTTCCTATTATCTATTACTTACAAAACAAAACAAAAATTCGTTTTGTATATGTACATACATACATAGAGGGCCAATGAACAGTTTTCATATAGTAAGCAAACACATTCAGTTTAAAACATGAAAATGTCAATTACAGTACAAACTGAATATGTTATTCAAATTAACTACATGGTTTACCATAACAGCTTAGTTGGGATATCCATATCATATACTTTTGAACTCGACACTTGACAAAGGAAGTGCCACAAATAGTTTATATCAGGATCTGTATGTCCTAATATACATGCATGCACATCACATCAATACAGCAAGCCTGGACCACAGGGCTACCCTTTGTACCTACTATCCCCATATGTGGCTTAAAATGGCCATGAACGTCATTCTGTCAATATCTCCCTCCCAAATGCTGGAATTAGCCGGGCGGTGGTGGCGCACGCCTTTAATCCCAGCACTCGGGAGGCAGAGGCAGGCGGATCTCTGTGAGTTCGAGACCAGCCTGGTCTACAGAGCTAGTTCCAGGACAGGCTCCAAAACCACAGAGAAACCCTGTCTCGAAAAACAAAAAACAAACAAACAAAAAAAACCAAATGCTGGAATTATAGATGGGTGTAATCACACCAAGCTTTTTTTTTTTTTTTTTAAAAAGGCAAGGGTCTCACTGTATAGTCACTCAATGGCTTAGAACTCACTATGTAGACTACCAGGCTGGCTCGGTCTTCTGAGTGCTAGGACTAAATGTGAATCCCATCTAAAGTGACAAACATTGTCTTTTAATGATCGGTGTAAAATGCATTTACATTCTGACTTGTTTTATCAATGATTAATGAGCAGAGCTGCTTTTCAGGATCAATACTGCACTTGGGAATTAGTCCAAATATGGAAAGCCCCACTCCACCCCCATTCCAAAGAGACAGGGGTTGTCCTAGAACTCACTGTCTACACCAGGCTGGCCTTGAACTCAGAGACCTGCCTGTCTGTCTCTGGCCTGGTTCAGGTGGACATTTTTTAAAGAAAAGATTTATTTATTTATTTATTTATTTATTTATTTATTTATTATGTATACAACATTCTGCTTCCATGTATGCCTGCACACCAGAAGAGGGCAACAGATCTCATTACAGATGGTTGTGAGCCACCATGCAGTTGCTGGGAATTGAACTCAGGACTTCTGGAAGAACAGCGAGCGCTCTTAACCATCTCTCCAGCCCCTAGATATTCTTCATGTAACAGAGAAAAATGCAACGAAGAGACAATAGGATAAAACTGCATCTATCACAGCAACATAGCCTGGACCTGTTTTACTTTTTAGTAGTTTCAATTAAAAACAATAGTGCCGGGAGCTGGAGAGATGGCTCAGAGGTTAAGAACATTGCCTGCTCTTCCAAAGGTCCTGAGTTCAATTCCCAGCAACCACATGGTGGCTCACAACCATCTGTAACGGGGTCTGGTGCCCTTTTCTAGCCTGCAGTCATACACACAGACAGAATATTGTATACAAAATAAATAAATATTTAAAAAAAAAAACAATAGTGCCCTGGCGGCAGAGAAGGGAGCCCAAAGGAAGCAAACATCTATGAATTTGAGCCCAGCCTGGTCAACACATGAAGTTCCAGGCCAGCTATGGCTACTAAGTAAGATTTCATCTCAAAAAGAAAAGAAAAACCTAACAACAAATAAATACAGCAGCAAAGAAAGTTAATCAATCACTAACACGCTTGACTTGCAAGCAAGAGACCTGAGTTCAAATTCAAGCAGCCCACATAGCAGTGTGCTTGTACCCAGCAGTGGTGAGACATGAGAAAGGACACACAGACCCATCTTCTGGATGCTCATGGTTGAGTCAGCATGGCCAATGTCTAAGTTCCAGGCCAAATGACAGGCTCCATTTCAAACAAAGTGTTGGTCACCTGAGGATCTCCACTCAAAGCTGTCCTCTGACCTCCATGTTATGCCCACATGCACCTGCACATCCACCCATATGTACACACACATACACCAAGCGCCAGGTTTTCATAATGTCAGATTTTAAGAATTTGCAAAGGTAAACCAAGGAACTAATAACTCATAAAGCCAGAGAAACACCTCACAAATAATCAGCACAACAGTTAGGACTCAAAACAATTAGGTCTGATTCCAGGATGCTCTGCTTCTGGAGGTATATACTCATAGGCCACAAGGACAGACTGTAACCAATAGTCAACTAATTCCTTCTCTTTGCTTATCAAAAGAGACAAAAGAATTACAGCCTGAAAGAAACTCAAGGGGCTGGAGAGATGGCTCATAGGGTAAGAGCACTGACTACCCTTCCAGAGGTCCTGAGTTCAATTCCCAGCAACCACATGGTGGCTCACAGCCATCTATAATGAGATCTGGAGCCCTCTTCTGGCATGTAAGCATACATAGAAGGAATGTTGTATACATAATAAATAAATAAATCTTAAAAAAAAAAAAGAAACTCCTCAGGAATCATCCATAACCATTTTCTCTAACCAAGATAATAAGGTCTTTTAAGAGATAAAGGGGGTTTCTCAAAAAGTACACATGCAACAAAAATGAGACAAACATTCCCTACCTGACAAACATTCTCCTTGAGTGCTGCTCCTCCACCGCGTTCACCCTGCAATTTTTTGGATGCAGACATCCCAGGATCATGTTCTACACCATCTTCAAGAATCTCCTTGGGGCTGGCAGCAGTCCTGTGGATCATCAGTTCTCCCTTGCAGAGAAAAAAATAACACCCCACATCTGTATTATTGATGTCTCTTCCATATGACCCCCTCCTCCCTCTGGGCTGCTATTTGTCTAGCCATCAAGCACTTACAGATGTTCAGCCAATCACGCGGGCGGACTGCATGCAATGTTAGTTCTAACCCTGCTGTGATTGGACGGGTAGTGGGCGCCTCATGCCCTGCCACTAACTGCTCTGAGGCTTTTCCACTGGAACTTTTTGAGCTGTTCCACTTAAAGGTTTCACTAAGGGAGAGAAAACATTCTTAAGTTTATTTGATTACTTATTTGTCCTCCAGATCCGTGTTTCCTAGGCAATGCCCCCTTGGGCATTCTATTCAAATTAGAAAGAAAACACTCAGCAGCATCTGTGATGCTCAAAAACTGGATCTAATTCTATTTTTAACTTGAATTCAAAAGCTCTGTAAAGACAGCTTTAAATGCTTTTCAAGAGCTGATGTTTGTAAACATCCCAAACTAAGCAACTGATGGTCAGTAAATAAGCATATGGAATTTCCCCCTACCTACAGCAGTCTGAACTTTAATGGGGCACTATCTAGGTTCATTCATATTATTTGGTTACTTAGACTGTACTCTCCAGTTTTAGAACAACTTCACTTATTAAGGCAACACATATATAATGATTCTGCTATCTCAAGCAAAAGGGCCATTATCCACAGTTGCAATTTGTACTTTGCTAGGACTGGGCTCTCCATAAGTCAAGATTCTTTAAATCTTCAAGGAAGAGGATGGGCCGTCTAGCGTGGAAGGTGGAAAGGTGAGGAACTGAGTGATACCTCCGAGCGTGGAGCCTCTTTTGAGGAGCCGTCCTTTCTCACTTTTTTATAGTGTACTCTGGCTGTAACATGCCTTTGTCGTTTTCGCTTCCTTGGTTTATCAAATATCTTGGTTGTGCCTACAAAAGGAAAACAAATGTTACCTAATAGCTAGCTACTCAAATATATGTTCAGCAACTTTCATCCTTAAATTAAGGATCCTTAAAAGCTATGGTAAAGTAAAGTAATACCTAACTCAGAATCTACTTATAACTGAAGTGTCTAGAATACTAAAGCAGATGTAAATAAATAAATTACTTATTGGATTATTTTTGGGAGACAGACCTCCTCTTGGCTGTGGTACAGGCTGGCCATGAATTCAAAGAGATCCACTTGCCTTTACTGGGATTAAAATGTGTACCATCACCCCCAGCAGTAATAGGTTTTATCTTATTAAAAAAACTATTACTTAAGACATAAAGCTAAAAACTAGCATTTATTTTCAACAACTATAGCTATGGTTTTATTCTAACTTAATTACAATAACTTAACAGGAAAGTCCAAGAAAGGAAGAAATAGCAATAAAACATAATAACTTTCAAAAATATAAAATGTGTTTATGTATACCTGAGTATTTGTACATGTAGTGCCTAGGAAGGCCAGAAAAGGATGTTCAATATTCCTGGAGCTAAAATTATATGCAGTTGTAAACGGTCTTAAATGGGTGCTAGGAAGCTATTTCAGATCATCTTGTAAGAGCAGCAAGAAATCTTAACCTCTGACCCACCTCTCTAGCCTAAAAGGACGTTCTTAAAGTCCATAAAATGTTGCTGATGTATGTTGAATCAATTTTCTTTTTATAAAAAATTATTTATTTTCATTTTATGTGCATCAGTATTTTGCCTGCGTGTATATTTGTGTCATTTCTTGAAGTTGTAGACAGTTGTAAGCTGCCATGTGCATGGTGGGAATTGAACCATGGTATTCTGGAAGAACAGTCAGTGCTCTTAACCACTGAGCCATCTCTCCAGCCCTTGAATCAGTTTTCGTGTTACGAATACTTCAACTGAAACTGTTTGTCAATATACTATCCTACATAAAGGTTTTCTCTCTCTCCCTCTCTTCTTTTTTTTCGAGACAGGGTTTCTCTGTGGCTTTGGAGCCTGTCCTGGAACTAGCTCTTGTAGACCAGGCTGGCCTCGAATTCAGAGAGATCCGCCTGTCTCTGCCTCGCGAGTGCTCAGAACCCATGTAAAAGATGTTGGGTATGGTGGCATGCATTTGTAATGCCAGCAAATTAAGGTGGGAGACAGTGCGCCACCACTGCCCGGCCATAAAGGTTTTCTCTAAGGTGAAAAAAAGAAGTTTCTGCCAGGGAGTGGTAATACACCTTTGATCCCATCACTTGGGAGGCAGAAGCAGGTAAATCTCTCTGAGTTTGAGGCCAGCCTGGTCTACGAGTGAGTTCCAGGACAGTGAGGGCTACACAGAGAAACCCTGACCTCAAGAAAAGAAAGTAAATAAATTTAAAATAGATTTCATTTAATTTTACATAATTAGTGGGGATTCTTAGCAGGGCCTGACATGAATAGCAAAGGTATAGGTCATAAAACAAAATTAGGGCCAAAGAGATGACTCACTGATTAAGACTAGCCTTTAAATCAACATGGTAGAAGGACAGAATCAACTCCAATGAGTTATCTTCTGAGGTGCAAATATAAATAAGCAAATGTTGTATCTGTGCTTACAAAATTAAAGCAATCTCAAGCAAGGCAAACTGACACATTTCTAAAACCTCATCACTTGAGAAACAGAAGGATCAGGAGTGCACAGATCATCCTGACTTGCAGCCTGGGTTACATAAGGCAACCTCTAAGAGAAAATTGTGTTTGAGTGTGTGCACACACGTGCCATGCATGATGGTGCACACCTTTAATCCTAGTATTCTGGAGGCAGAGGCAACAAAAAGGGCAGCCATGTCTATACAGACAAACCCTGTCTCAAAAACTGCGCACTCACATGAGGATGGGCTGAGAGCTGGCGCAGACGGGGGAGAGGAAGAGACTCCATGTACATATAAAGATGCAGGCAAAACACACATACATACAAATACAAATAAATCTTTCATTGAAAGTAACTGCATTTTATGACAAGATGTAGAGGAAATGCACTTACCATGCAGGAAAAAATTCTAGTTCCTAGGTTCTAGATTGGAAAAAACAACTTCTATCACTACAGGTTAAGAACTAAGATGGGGACTGGGGGAATAGCTTAGTCAGTAAAATATTTGACTTGTTTGCATGATGACCTGAGTTCAATCCTCAGAACCCATGTAAAAGATGTTGGGTATGGTGGCATGCATTTGTAATGCCAGCAAATTAAGGTGGGAGACAGGAATAGTGGTTTACACATGTAAACCAAGTACTCAAGGAGGCTAAAAAAAAAGATTTTTTTATGTGCTTATAACCAGGCTCAGCCAGATACATAGTAAGTTCTAGACAAGTCCAGACTTTAAGTGTAAGACCTTGCCATAAAGAAAGAAGGTAAGATAAAATTTGTCTCATGGAGGTATGGAAGTGATCTCCCTACATTTTGTGACTTAAATTAAGATTATCATTGAGTGGTAGTATACCTTTTAACATTCAACAATTACAGTGAATATATAATCTCATCCAGCAGAACTAGACAAAGAAATTCCAGTTTCCTATTTAAATTCTTTGTTATAGAAACTCTAAAGGCAGGCATTTCATAAGATGTTCTATGATATGTACCACATAAGCTAAATCTTCGAGACAGAATTTCTCTGTGGCTTTGGAGCCTGTCCTGGAACTAGCTCTGTAGACCAGGCTGGTCTGCAAATACTGAATCTTAAAACATTGCTGGATCTTAAAACATAGAGCCTAAGGGCATCAAGTAAACTGGAATTACTGCCTGAGTTTACTACCATCCTTTTCAATACCATTTCTGCACTTCATTTTGAAGTAGTGGTTTCTTTATTTTTAGCAGTGCCAAATAAAACCTTGTCCATGTTTGATATATACTAAGTGTTTTAATATTTAATAATGGTGATGATACATTAACACTAAAATTTTCTCTTGTAACTAGCTGTCTTAAGGAAGCAAGGTGTTAGTACTAAGTAAATCTTTCCGCTTCCCATGCTAACCTTGGAGCCTACCTCACTGGAGGAAAGTGTCCCAGCTGCTCCAGACTTTCTCAGAGACATCTCCCTGGTCTCATACTTTGCTCCAAGAACTTCTAAAGGTTCATAAAGAATTCTGAAAAACACTCCTGAGTCCTGGCTATGGACATGCTCAGAGCATGTAGCTTGCTTCCAGACATTGGAGAATCATGCCCAGCTTTGGTCCATTTAATTTTGGAATGAATCCACTATTTTCTTATTTACATTTTTTTTTTGAGACAGGGTCTCATATGTCGTTAGCTGGCTTAGAACTTGATTAGTAGACCAAGCTGGCCTTTAACTAACAGAAATCCATCTGTCTCTGCCTCTTAAGGGCTATGCTTAGAAACAAGAACCATCATACCCATTCTTTCTATTTGTGTGTGCAGATACTCACTGAAGACAGAGGTACTGAATGTGAAAGTGTTGATACAGGATCTCACAGAATATAAATGCTCTAACTTATAAAATTTACTACTTCTCCAACCATTGTTTTCACCATTTTAAATAACTTTCCCCTAATTTTAAAGTACTCAGGCCCAGAATCATAAAATGCAAAAGAAAAAAATTCCCAACATCTTTTACTTTAAAAATTAACCTGTATGAGTATATTATTATAGACTTTTAAAATGGAATTGTGGTCAGCTTTTTCTATCCAAAGTATGTTTTAAATTCTAGTACTATACGATATTCCTTCCTTCGCTGTACCCATTTGAACTAAGTTATGCTGTCTCATTTTCTTCTAGTGCCGCAGTTGCATAGTTTATCCTCTTATCATTAGAATTTTTTTCTGATGTTCTAGAACAGGATTTTACTCTGTGGCTCAGGCTGACATCAGACTAATGGCACTCCTTCTTGCTGAATCTTCCAGAAGCTGAGATCATAGGCATGTGTCAGCACACCTTGTGATGCTTCATGTACGTTAGTCAAGCACTCTACCTGCAGTCCCTAAGCCTAAGTGTCTTAACACTGACCAGACTTACACAGAATAGGTCTCTCCTTAAAGGGGGATCTGCCTGCCTACTCAAGGAGGTCCCTAGACACTGATCCCAGGAATGAAGGGTGTTGTTAGGATTAATGACCTCGTGCTCTCTGGTATAGTCTATAACTGTGGCATTCTTCATTTAGTAAGACAAAAAATAGATTTGAAAATCTTAACCTATACTTATACCTATGAGTAATTTAATAAGCATTTTAGACTGACGTCTACTTTAGGATCTGGTAGTGAAATTTGTTTGGATATCATATAATTATAATAGTAATGTTGTATGCAGTACTTAAAAGTGATCTGTATCTTCAAAAACATTCTATCATCTGGTCAGAAATGGTGCGTGTGTGCATGTGTAGGCAAGGACATGCTAAAGCACAGAGAACACAGAGAGTCCTGGCAACCAAACTAAGATTATAAAGACACACAGAAAGTGCCTTTAGCCTCTAAAGATATCTTTCCCACCCCTGATCTGCAATCTTAATTCAGCTAAAAACCAGTTTATACTTGAAAAGAACAAACACTTGGTATTAAAATCACCACTTAGTAGGATTTGTCTAAAAAAAAAAAAATCACATTACATAGTAGAAAGTATGATGGGTTTAAGTCAAATGGGTGTAGATTGTCTGTAAAGAACACTTAACTAGCCCTGCATGGCAGCACATGCATTTCATTCCACCATCTGGGAGGCAGAGACAGATTGATTTCCATGAGGTTTGAGGTCATTCAGGTCTATCAACTAAGTTGCACTCCAGTCAAGGTTACACACTGAGATCTTCTTTTAAAAAAGAAATTTAACTGTCTAGTTTGTATATACTGTTCAGTTCTTGATTTTGCACAATGGGGATTCCAATCTGGCTGTAAATAATTAGTTTAAAGAGAAAAACTCTGGTTGTGGACACCAAAATTTCATCTTATCATTTTTGCTTCACATTCTTGATATTGTTTTTGTTTTATTTTTGTTTTTTCTACAG